GAACTCAGGAGCAGGAAAAGCAAATCCTGGCCACAGCCCAGAACACTGATACAGTGACTCTCCCTCTCTGATCAAACCCCATTCCACACTTAGCTCCCTGGACTCCTGCAAAACCTCCAAATACTACAAAAAGGAGCTGCGAGGCCTTTGCTATGGTATCCAAGGTGGTTGCTAAGGTGTTGCTAGGCCTTTGCTATGGTATCCCAGGTGGTTACTAAGGTGTTGCTAGGCCTTTGCTATGGTATCCCAGGTGGTTGTTAAGGTGTTGCAAAACTTTTGCTATGGTATCCCAGGTGGTTATGAATATATGTGTGTACACGTTTGTATGTATATATCCTCATTCATGCAGTTATTTAATGCTGTGTCTGATCCACTCATACCAGCACAACACACACTAACACACCACCACCACGTCAGTGTTACTGCAGTGCTGAGAATGATCCACCACCCAAATAGTACCTGCTCTGTGAGGGTCCATGGGGGTCCTGACCACTGAACAACAGGGTAAAGGGGGCTAACAAAGTATCAGAGAAACAGATGGACTACAGTCTGTAACTGTAGAGCTACAAAGTGCACCTATATAGTAAGTGGAGCTGATAAAATGGACAATGAGCGTAGAAACAAGGAGGCGGTCAGAATGTTATGCCGATGTGTATATATATATATATATATATATATATATATATATATATACACACATACACACACACACACACACCGGCATAACATTATGACCACTTCCTTGTTATATATATACATACATACATTCATATATATATATATACATACATACATATATATACATACATGCCTACATACATACATATATGTATGTTATGTGTGTGAGAGACATCCTTTGAGGCAGTTAGATAAGAATTTTCTCAACATTTCAGCCTTTCATTTCCTATTCTGTTTGCACAAATGATGTATGAAAGGCTTATGTGATATTTTAGGGTTCACGGTTTCAGTCACATGATTCTTCTGTTTCTGCTGCCACATTTCTGGCTTCGCAGCTCACCTCAAGCTGTAAAATAGCTCAAATTAGTCACCTTGCTTTGAAAGAGGAAAATCAGTACCTAGACAACGTTGGCTGTGATCTTGTGTATTTACCTCACACACTATTCTGGACAGTGCCTTCTGGCTCTTCATGTCCGGGTGGGTAAAGGACCGCATGGTGTTTCACAGAGAGAAAACTCTTATCAGAGGAAGGGTGAGGCGACATCAGCTTAATTAACATAGAAGTTAACGGATAGAAGTTAACGGGGCTACAGATAACCCTTGCTAATGTTAGCCACGCTTGCAGCCGTGGTTGGCGGCTTTGCATACAGTCTTAAAACGGTGATAAAACAGAGCATGTGCTGTTTAAGGAGCACGTTTTTAGTGTCCTGTGAAAACTGTACGCCTGTCTGCTGAAACTGTTAAAGTGATGTGCAGAGCGGGTTTGGTGGTGTGAGAGTGCATAGCTATGCTGTGTTTATGGTGCTGTAAAATGCTGAACCCTCACCAACTTACCACAGCCATACTGACAGCTTTGTGGTCAGACAGAGAAACGATGAACACAGCACAACACAGCAGAACAATGAACCAGTTTCAGAACATAAAAATAAACCCTAATATGTTCAAAACTGTACGACAAGGCTTTATTGCTGTTCACTGCTGTTCTCAGTTCTCTAATTGACCATACACATACACACATTATATATATATACAGTTATAAATTACATGTTTTGTGGAATTTTGAAGTTTCTAAGTTAAAATTAGTTAATACATCCTCTACAGTGAACACATAAAAATAAGGTGTTTTTCAGCAAATTTCTCAGCACCATTTGCTCAAACCAACCATGTCTAAAATACTGAAAAGAAAAATTAAAAAGTACATTAAAAAAAGAAACAAATTGTGATTGTGCATAAAAATGCGCCGATGTGTGTTCTCTGTAGAGCACAATAGTGCACAGTAGAGCGCAAAAGCACAAGCACACTATTCCTGTATTCTAGTGCTTCAGTCATGTGATTTCCACACTGACTCTGCCCTGTCTACATGGATACTTGTGTATATAAATGTAGCTGATTTACACTATATGGACAAAAATATTGGGACAACTGGGACTCTTAATCATTGAATTCAGGTGTTTCATTCAGTCTTATTGCCACAGGTGTATAAAATCAAGCAGCTAGCCATGCAGCCTGCCTTCACACACATTAGTGAAAGAATGGGTCTGTAGAGTCACTGAATTCGAGTGTGGTGCTGTGAAAGGAGCTTTCATTGCAAAAAGTCAGTTTGTGAAATTTCTTCCCTCCTAGATTTTCCACGATCAGCTGTGAGTGTATTATTGAAAGTGGAAGTGTTTAGGAACCACAGCAACTCAGCCACGAAGTGTCAGACCAGGTAAAGTTACAGAGCGGGTCGCCGAGCTCTGAGGAGCACAGAGCATAAAAGTCTCCAACGCTCTGCTGATCAATAACTGCAGAGTTCAAACCTCCTCTGGTATCAACATCAGCACAGAAACTGCACTGGGAGCTTCATGACAGGGTTTCCATGGCTGAGCAGCTGCATGCAGCCTTACATCACCAAGCACAGTGACAAGCGTCGGATGGAGTGGAGTAAAGTGCCATCACTGGACTCTGGAGCAGTGAAACGTGTTCTGTGGAGTGACCAATCAGCTTCTCTCTCTGTCAGTCTGATGGACGAGCCTGGGTTTGGTGAATGCCAGGAGAACGTTACCTGCCTGACTGCACTGTGCCAGCTGTAGAGTTTGGTGGAGGAGGGATGATGATATGGGGCTGTTTTTCAGGGGTTGGTCTAGAACCCTCAGTTCCAGTGAAGGGAAATCTTAATGCTTCAGCACCAAGACATTTTGGACAATTGTACACTTCCAACTTTGTGGAACAGTTTGGGGAAGAACCTTTCCTGTTCCAGCATGACTGAGCCCCAGTGACCAAAGCAGCTCCATAAAGGCCTGGCTGGGTGAGTTTGGTGTGGAAGCACTTGACTGACCCTCACAGAGCCCTGACCTCAACCCCATCACACACCTCTGGGGTGAACTAGAACAGAGATTGTGAGCCAGACCCTCTCGTCCAACATCGGTGTCTGACTGAGGAACTAACCTTTTTAAGAATGAACGAACTTTTGGAAAGATGCATTCAGCAAACTGACTCAGCACATGCATCCAACAGCTTCCTGTCTCATACAAGCACAGTAAAGCTCAGAAGTTTCCAGACGTCAGTTTTTGATTCTCCTAAATTCTGTTTTATTGTACAGCAGTTTTCTATTACAAAGCACTGTGAGCAGAGATGCTTTAGAGTTCAGGAGCAGAGGATGGTGAGCTGACCGAACAGTGAAAGAAAAAGAAAGCAAGTTTTAAGAGGAAGCAGAACTCAAAGGGGGAACTTAGCTAAATAAGGTGAAGCTGGTCAGCAAAAGATGATGACCCTTAACTGAGGAACCTTCCAAGTCCATGCAGTGCTGCTGCTTGAGCACACTCATATGTAAAATGATTTTCTATCACATAATATGACCAATATCACCATCTGTGAAACCGTTATCCTTGATGAGTCCATTCAGACTGTTTTCATTTTCAGGTGGCTTCTTCATCAGCACAAGATAATCAGTCATTTCCTGTGTGGAGGCAGTTAAAGTGATACATACATGTGATTTTTTTTTCCATGTGAATTTGCAGCATCATACTTGAAATGGCATATTAGCACTTCTTGCTGCTGGCCTGTAAAATGCATCAGTTTTGCACTTATTAAAGAGATCAGACGACAACGTCTTCCTTTTCACATTTAGCTGATTGGTATTACTGTAAGGTCCACTGAAGGAGCTCTGTGTAGGTCAATGCAATGAATGAGCCGAACATTAAAATTTACATAAATTTCCCTTTTTACCTCAAATGCACTTTTTTACCTGAAGTCTGAAGTCTACAGACCTACAAGGATACAGGGCTACAGGCATACAAGGCCATACACACAAGACTACAGATGTACAGGTCTACAGGCCTACAAGGCTCCAGGTCATAAAGTCTGCAGCCATACTGGTCTACAAGATTACAGGTCTACAGGCCAACGAGGTTACAGGGCTACTGACATACAAGGCCAAAAACACACAAGGCTACAGGTCTACAGGCCAACAAGGCCAACAAGGTTACAGGGCTACTGACATACAAGGCCACAAACACACAAGGCTACAGGTCTACAGGCCAACAAGGCCAACAAGGTTACAGGGCTACTGACATACAAGGCCACAAACACACAAGGCTACAGGTCTACAGGCCTACAATCATCCTACAAGGCTTCACATTTAGAGGCCTCTGGCCACAGCCCTACAGGGCTACTAGAATCTGAATTCCAAATGCTCAACCCTACAGGCTACAGGTATAGGGGTGTACAGGCCTACAGGTGTCCAGGTCTACAGACCTACAAGGTCAAAGTTCTGAAGGCATCCAAGATCAGAGGCAGATAAGGCTACAGGTGTTCAGGTCTACAAGCCTGTTTTAAGGACTGTTACAGGTCTACAGGCCTACAGGGCCAAAAGTCTACAGTAAGGGTGTCCAGTCTTATCCGTAAAGGGCTGATGTGGCTACAGGTTTTCCCTCCAAACAAGTCAGAGCCTTTTTTTGTGCATAAGATTGGACCCTGCCTTGTATGCCCCCCTCTACAGGTGTGTGTTTGTACTGTGTGTTACTTTACATCATAACTCTGTCCCTAAAGAGAAGCATTATAAAACTGAACAGCGTCGGTTCTCTAAGGCGTCCACTGCTGCAGCTCTCATTCTGTTCCCTTTTGTTTCTCACTCAGGGTCTGTGTGTGTTGCTGAGAATGTGTGCGATGCTAGGAAGAAGTTTTCTTTCTCTGTTTTTTTCAACACAAAACAAAAAATCTTCACAGATTTGTCTCATGCAACAAATGTCCTGTTCCAAACCCAAACCACCACTTCTTCAAACGTCTTGCAGCAGCTCTGTCCACCCAGCCCCTCCTCTCTGTCTGTCTCTCTCTCTCTCTCTGTGACACACACACTCCCTCAGTGTAATGTTTGACCCACTCAGAAATGGACATGAAACTCTTCATCTTATCAGGTAAAACAAAACAATCATCACTGCTTCTCTCTGACTCTGAATGGGCTTTATTCTTCATTCTCTCTCTCTCTCTCTCTCTCTCTCTCTCTCTCTCTCTCTCTCTCTCTCTGAGGTGATTGATCTGTTTTATGTTTACTCAGCTCTGATCACACATACTTCTCAGGTTTTCTCAGTGTTGAATGCAGGTTAAGATCTGATTAATACTGAGATTAAAATGACTTTGAGTGCGATTTTGGTCAGTGTGGCATCATGAGGGCTCAGTAAACTGTGGGTTTGGTTTCAGGTCCAGCCTTGTATGGTCAGAAAACTTTGTGTGCCAGCTGCTGCACGGTCACTGCACAGCCAGTTCAGGCATAGCAAACAGCTCAGCAGACGCCTTTATCTTTTAAAGCTACTTATCTGGGCAGTGTGTTGTTGCAAAACTCAGTTTAACATTAGAGTAAATAAACATAAATACAGTCAAAAGCCTCAAAGCTGAATGTACTGTTTTCTGTATGGTTTCTACTTTGGCTCAAACTGTGCTCTGAAACTCTGCAAAACACTGGAACATTAATTCAGTGAAGAGTGAGCTGAACGTACTGTTTTCTGTAAAGTTACTGTGATGGTCATTAGGAGAACACAGATTCAGTTCTTCTCCTTGATGCAGCCCAGCTGTTTTATGGGTGTGTTCAGTTCTGCCAGCAGCACAACTGTTTTAATTCACAACAGAACTCAACTGATATTTCAAAATTTCTGCATAATTAAATGTTTGAGATGTAATCAGAGCGGTTCAGAGTGGTTTGGTGTGAAACGCTCCGTTCTAGATAAACTTACCGAGTCAGAGCTGTTCACAGTGGTGGTGATAGGAACCAGACGTCCACCTCTAAAAGCTCCCTCACAGAAAGTTACTACATGAAATGGTTATTAATTCACTGCCTGATGACTGAGACACTGTTTTATGATAGTTTTGAGAAGATTTTTTGGATAAAATATGCAATAATTCCCTTTTAAAACTGAACTGCACTGTTCAGTATACATATATAAACTGTCAGAACATCTTATATCTTTATTTCTGTCATTTTATTTATTTTTCATTTTTAACACAGTGTAGAAACATCAGCTCTCCTTCAGCCTGTGTGAACTTTTCATTATGAATTGATCAACAGAATCAAAATTGCAGAAATACGTGAAATATAATAAATAATATCAAATCTAGTTATGTTTGCTTGTGTGAGAATGTTTTTTCTTTCCTTTAATGAACAGTTACCATTTTGGAGATACAAGGTTTTGTTCTAACAGCAACGGTATGCATCCAAACGTAGTTATGAATGCACTGCCTGATGTCCGAGAGGTTTTGAGAAGATTTCGGCTCCGTTCAAGGTGGAGGGATACATAATATTTAGGGTGCTGTGAGGCAAAATAGTCCCCAAAGAAAACTTATTATCTCAGATTTTCCACTATTTTCCATCATCAACATTCCATATAAACTCAGAAGACTCGTGTAGGTTCACTGGTGGTTCTGGATAGGAAATAAAATGTCTATATTTGTGTTGTAGTCATGGCGACCCCTGGTTCCTATCACCACCACTGTAAAGACATCTGAGCCATTTTACACCAAACCACTCTGAGTCACTCTGTTTACATCACAAACACTGAGTTATGGAGATTATGATTAGCTAATTTAGGCATTGGCGCTATGAATGCTGAGCTGTTGGCTTGCAAACTGCAAAATAACTCTACTGCACAGATAAATAGAGTTACATATTATTCTCTCAGAGGTCAGAAGTTGTCTGAATGGTTCTGTGAACACAGTCAGACGCTGTAAAGTCCTCTCTGGTGAAACATCTTTGAAGTTCCTTTTTTACTCGGAGACCAGAGTTAATGAGTCCCAGAATCCAGCCTGTATTAAACTGTGTTAAAGTGAAAGAGGAATCTGACGGTTCCTGTTTTGTGAAGTAAAGTGCTTCTTCATTTCTGCACTTAGATACCTGGAAGACATGCTCTGCTTCCATGATCTGGTTTTCAGGAAAAGTTAGCAGACAGAGTGAATGTGTTAGCGCCTACATGTCTGAAACGTTTTTGATTGCATTCAGCCACAAGAGCATCTGTGAGGTCAGGTACTGATGTTGGACGGTCAGTTCTGGATCACTCAAACTCATCCCAAAGGTACTGGATGGAGCTCCATCACTCCAGAGAACACAGTTCCACTGCTCCACAGCCCAATGCTGGGGGGCTTTATACCCCTCTAGCCTATGCTGGGCACTGGGCATGGTGACCTTAGGATCACGTGCAGCTGCTCCCGAGCTGCATTCTGTTGGTCAGTGCTTTACTATGGAGATTATACAAGCTGTGTGTAATTAAAGGCCAGTGTGGGCGATGAGTGACCTCAAAGCGGCTAAATTCACTCGTTAGAAGGACCGTCTGAATACCTTTGGATGCACATCGTCGCTGTTCGAACAAAACCTTACATCTCCAAAATGGTAACTGTTCATTAGAGAAAAGAAAAACATGGTCTTATGCAGGTGGACATAACTAGATAACATTTCTGGGATGCCGGGTGACCAGCGTCCTCTCTGTGTGGAGTCTGCATGTTCTCCCTGTGTCTGTGTGGGTTTCCTCCCACAGTCCAAAGGCAGGCAGGCCGATAGGAGATGCTTAATTACCCCTAGGTGTGATTGTATATGTCTGTCTGTCTGCCCTGTGAAGGACTGGCGACCTGTCCAGGGTGTATCTTGCCTTCCGCCCAATGACCGCTGGGATAGGCTCCAGTTCCCCCTGCGACCCAGAAGGATAAGCGGTTTAGATAATGTGTATGTGTGTGTGAACTAAAGGAGAGGTGATGTTTTCACATTGTGTTAAAAACTAAAAATGAAAATAAAGATATAAGCTGTTGTTCTGACAGAGTATATATGTATATTTAACAGTGCAGTACAGATTTAAAAGGGAATTCTGGCATATATTCTCCATAAACTCTACTCAAACCCATCATAAAACAGTGTCTCAGTCATCAGGCAGTGAATTCATAACCATTTCATATAATAACTTTCTGTGAGGGAGCTTTTAGAGGTGGACGTCTGGTTCCTATCACCACCACTGTGAACAGTTCTGACTCGGTAAGTTTATCTAGAACCGAACGTTTCACACCAAACCACTCTGAACGAACTTTGTTTCCATTCCCGTTTAAGCATGTTGATATATACATTGAGTATATATTAACCCCTATATGTCCAGGGCCACCGGCAGGCCCAACGTATTTACCACACTCTTCTGTAATCTAAGAATAACTCAGCGAGTTTGCATTGCAATCCGTGTCGTTGCTGGATAATAAGCCGCAGTTTTGATAAGCCTGGGATTTTAAGACATTTAGCATTCCAGTGCTATGACTTCAAAAAAGCTTAGTCCACTTTTGGGGTGTTTGACATGGGAATTGCACAAGATCACAATAAATTCCAACCAACACTTACGTTCACTTGGTTGCTCAACACTCTGAGAGCTAATTTAACAAATCATTTTAGTTCATACAGCCCTGGAAGGGCCCTCTGCACAGTGTGGCCAATTCTCCCCAGGGGAAATCCTGAGGCCAAGTGGAGGAGGGTGTGGTTCAAACCGCACTGAAACAAGCAGACACGCACTTTAAAATGCTTTAAACTGTGATTGGATGAATGGAGTTTAAGGCCAAAATCTGCTCGAAACTATCATAAAACAGTGTCTCAGTCATCAGGCAGTGAATTCATAACCATTTCATGTAGGAACTTTCTGTGAGGAGCTTTTAGAGGTGGACGTCTGGTTCCTATCACCACCACTGTGAACAGTTCTGACTCGGTAAGTTTCTCCAGAACAGAGCGTTTCACACCAAACCACTCTGAACCACTCTGATTACATCTTAACCACTTACAATACAAAGAAATGAAAATAAATAAACGTTGAACTCATGCAGAAACAGTAACTACAAGAAAGGGAAAGTTCATGAAAGTTCATAGTGTTGCTTTCGCATTCCAGGTTATTGTTAGGGTGTTGGTTGGTGGTTGTTTTGTGGTTGCAAAAGGAAAGCTAGGCTGTTGATATGCTATCCCAGGAGGTGGCTAAGGTGTTGCAGGGCTGTTGCTATGCTACCCAAGGTGGTTGCTAAGGTGTTGCGATGCTGACGCTAATGTATCCCAGGTGGTTGCTAAGGTGTTGCTTGGCTGTTTCTGTGGTATCCCAGGGGGTTGCTACTGTGTTCCTAGGCTGATGCTATGTTATCCCAGGTGGTTACTAAGGGGTTGCTAGGTTATTGCTATGGTATCCCAGGTGGTTGCTAAGGTGTTGCTAGGCTGTTTCTAGGGTGTTCTAGGTGGTTGCTAAGGTTTTGCTGGGTCGATGCTGTGGTATCCTAGGTGCTGTATGAACATTGTAAGTTAAGTAGGTTATAATAGTAACTTATTCAGTTTTATACTCTACTATCCTGCAAAGTTTCTTGGTTCTAGCTCGAAAGCTGTAGGAGGAGAAGAGCTGCAGATTTGTGACCTGGGAATAATAAGAAGAAGAAAACAAAGAACAATAAACTGGCTGTTTAAAGCCACATTAATAGTTTTAACTAATAACAATTATGTTGTTTTGAATCAGTGTTTTCTTCTGGAGTGCAGCTGACAGAGTTTGGGGTGTTTGTATGTGGCAGTGGGCGTGTCATGAATACTAACTGATAGATCTTCTCCATTTCCAGTGTTTTTGGTGTTTGCAAGAGGACAAGGGAAACCAAGGGGTAGGTGTACACACAAACATACCACCTCATAAAGTTCTTTTTGTCTGTAAGTACAAGTAGCGTTCATGATGATCAATACAAATGCTCCAAAATTACTTAGATTAAAATCTCATTTCAGTAAAGAGCCCTTATCTTACATTTCCACTTGATAGTGTTTGTGTAAGTTAATGTACAAAAAAAAGGCTTTATTCATTTTTATATGCCCTTTTCCAACCTCTCTTTGTCCCGTACACTTAAACAGGCTGTTTTTGTTACTGTGCCTTAAAGACTGTTATATGTAAATGAGCTCTGTTCTCATTGGCTCTGTATTGTGTCTTATTCAAAGCGCAGTCTAGGCTGAAACATAATAATTTGTGAACTTCCTGCAGCAGCATATATATATGGACTGTACGGACTGTGGAGTGAACAGTAGATTTTGAAACGTTTACACTGCTGACACTGTATAAAAAATAAATAAATAAATAAATTAACAAAGCCATGAAGATTTGGTTTGACCCATGATATAGACCCTTAATGCACATTCATATAATTTTACTTCTCCTATAAAGTCACGGTTCTGTAGATATGAGCACAGTGACAAAATACTTCCTCTCTCATTTTCAGCTTCAGTAACTCTGCATTTGATGATTCTAACAGCAGGTTTAGCTTTGAATAGACATGAAAAGAACACGTCTTGCTCATAACAAGCCCTCGAAAGCACTTAAGACATCGTCACTGCAGGAAAAGTGCAGTAGGAGAAACAATATTAACTTCCACTCTTCTACCAGTAGAGGACGCCAATCACGTCAAGAGTACCTCAAGTAGTCCAACTTCAACCTGAGAACTCTCTGAGCCACAGCACTGAGAGCTCCACTGAGAAACACCACATTCTCCTGATTTCACCACTACGTCTGAGTTAAACACTGAATACGATGACGGAACATGGGAATTATATTTTTCATTCCGGACATCAACAAATTATCACGACTTTTGTTCTAACTTCATGGAGTTTAACAGCACAGCACAAAGCTGATATCCAGCTCATAAACCTTCCTTTGAAAGAGAAATGTGCTTAATTAATTACACAACAGTATCAGACACGATAAGACTGACTGATTTAAAAGCAGTGTAGTATCTAAAACGCTGCCTCTCCATGTCTTCACCTTCGGCAGGACTGACTGACCAGTTCCTAATGATCTGAGAGTTCTGCTCGGCTCATATCGCTGCAGCAGGTCAGATAAATACGCTGCTCCTGACCATTCAGACATTTATAGAGCAGTAACAGCTCCTTAAAGACTATTCTGGAACAGACTGGTATCCAGTGTGAGGGTTTAAGAATGGGGGGCCTTCTTTTACTCCTAATGAGACGCTGGCAGCTGCATTCTGAATCGGCTGAACCTGTTTGATTGTCTTTACAGTGATCAATCCTGCTAGAAATACAGGCATGGATGGGTTTCTTCAGGTCTGCTTTAGAAAGAACTTCTCTGATCTTGTTTTCAAAGTGATAAAAAGCTGATTTAGTCACTGCTTTGACATGACTGATAAAACTGAGATCATCAACTGAGTCCATCAGTACACCACGTTTACATACTAGATCTTTAGATTTAAGGGCTCTTGAGTCCAGATAGGCAGCTAGTCTTTGCCTCTCATTGCTATTCCCAAAGAAAATAATCTCTGTTTTATTTTTATTCAACTGCAGAAAGTTAATAACAGGCAGTTTAAAATGCTATAACTTTTGCCCCTATTTTTCCAGTGTTAAACTCAGTAAATAAACAGTAACTGTGTATTAAAATGTGCAGGAGTGTGTTTCTGTAGAGGCTGTGTAACTTAGAGCAGTGGTTTTCTGCCTGTGGGCTGCGGCCCCCCAGTGGACTGTGGTGGTACTGCTAGGGGGCTGTGGATGTCTTTTTATGTGTTATCTTCTCTTATGCTATTTCTTGGCAAAAATTAAAAAATAATGAACATATATATATATATACATAGATAGATAGATAGATAGATAGATAGATATTATGCTAACTTTTACATGTTTATATGTGTAGAGCACTTTTTGATTGTATGGAACTCATCAATCATGGATAAATAGTTAATCAGAGACTTTCAAGAAAGTTGCCAAGGTCTGGGCATCCACAAAGCAAAAGCCAAGAAAATCAACAAAAGCAGCAGGGGTGCCCAACTCTGACATACAATTGTATAACCATCAAAGAGAGGAACACTAAATTCTCTCTCTCTCTCTCTCTCTCTCTCTCTCTCTCTCTCTCTCTCTCAGTGTCCCTGTTTCCAGGGTTCCCCCCTAGCCGTCTGTACGTGGCTGATGAGGTCACTCTGAGGTGTAAGGATGGCGACACTGTTCTCAACAATGATGTAAAATGGGAAAAAGATGGAGTCCAGCTCTCCGACAACATTCGAAATGGCAAGTTAGAAATTGCTGCGGCGACGGTCTCGGACTCAGGGAGGTACACCTGTGAGAGTGGAGGCAAGAAGAGTGATGAAGTGGAGATCAAAGTGCTGGGTAGAACATCACAACACCCACCTATTAGCTCATACTCACCAATTAGCATGATGCTAAGTTCATGCCAACTGTATAACAACTCTTCTGAAGATCTAAACTACCTTTCAGTGTGTAGTTCATAAGATTTTCTTTGTACAAAATATTATTGTACATAAATTATTAGGAATTATTGATGAGAAGTGATTCTAATCTTAAATAACATTAAAATAACATGCTGCTAATTTACCACATTTGAGGTTAAAGGAGAAATTAGACTTTCCCTGAACTTTAACAACTTACCAAACTGCCATATCAATACATTTGTTCTCTCTCTCTCTCTCTCTCTCTCTCTCTCTCTTTCTCTCCTCCTCCTCTGGCAGACATGGTGCCCCTGGCATCGCTCTCTGTTTTAAACAGAGCGAAGACTGTTCTAGGTAAAGGAGGTGCGGTTCTCATGGAGCTCTACGTGGAGGAGGGGCTGAAGGACTGGTGGTGTCGTTATACAGAAGGTGACGGTGAAAAGTGGCTCCCTTTGCTGCCAGAGAAGTGGACGAACAACCACAGTGTGGTCATACACGCTGACGTTGAACATGTAGGCGACAGGATCTTCTGGTGCATGAACACCAAGGCGAGACCAAAGGAGGAGCGTCCACGCAGTAACGCCGTCAAGCTCACAGCTACAGGTGAGACCTTCAGTTCCAGAGGAGCTCAGTCTGAGGCCCTGAGTGGGTTCATGCTCTGTGTGGTTTCATGCACCATGTAACAAACTGCTCCATCTGTTATACAATCATGTGTAAAAGTTTAAGCACCTCCAGTCAAGCGATGTTCTGTTGATTTCCTGTATGAAAGTAAGTTTCCTCTACAGGGAACACATTTCAATACTTGTGTCTGCTAGTTTTAGTGCCCAGTTTCCAGAGTTTAACGTTTAAAATATATAAAATGTGGCATAATCTTTTTATCATCACGCCAATGGAGTTCAATCCTCATCACTTTGCTCTGCTAGCGTGCTAGTTAGCAAGCTAAAGGCTACACAGCTGCCAACATCAATTATAAAGCCAGTTCACCACAGATACAGCCAAACAAAGCAATTACTCACAGAATTTATGTCCAGACCTCTCAGACAACTCTGTACTACAACGTTTTCATGGCTAGTGCAGCTCAGCCTGGCCACTTCTCTGTGGCTACTAGGCGTTTAGTCCTGGGCAAATTGCCTCCTTGCAGCAAAGTTTCCTGTTTGGTTAATCCAACCAGACTATGCTGAAGTTTTCAGATGAGTCTCCTGCTCGGGTTTCTCTTTCTTTCCCAAGCTGGGTTGGAAATCACTCCCTACTACAAATGTAGTACACTGGACAGCGTGTCGGCCATGGTAGTGGACCATTTTCAACCTCCATGCGTTACAATGAGAAAGTGGGAAAAACGTGGACGCCTCCATAAAAGCGAACACTGTTAGCAACAAACTAGCCAGATAATCTGATAATCTGAGTGACAACTTCAACGTTCCTGATGTAAACTTTCTGAAAACAGTGAACTTCATGTTAACTTCATGTGTTTACATGCCCACCGATTATCCCATCATTATCGGATTTCGGCAGTTATCTGATTATTCAAGTGGTCGTGTAAACAGCACACTCTGATTTTTCAGATCGGATTAAGACTATAAATCTGATTAATAAATCTGATAAAGAGGCTATCTATCTATCTATCTATGAAAAAAATGTTGTTGTGCATGTGTGAAAACAGAGCGTCGTCCTGGAAACAGCGAGCAGCCTTTAACACAGAACCCGTGAGATGCAGCACAGCACTTTTGGAGCGACGCTGAAACTGAGTACACACTCGACCAAATAAGGATTTGAATATTCTTCCTCTTCTAGATGATGTTGTTCACATTTTCAGCTAAAGTGACTTGATAATTTTAAAAAGCTGCTCATGACGTTTGAGTTTAACGTTATGTTTACGTCACGTCTTCTTCTGTGACTTTATGGGTCGGTTATAAAGCAGAGATCCGATTACTGCCGGACTCATGTAGCCCCGTTATCTGAAACGTTCATTTTGCGGCCGGGTGCACGGAGGAGGTACAAGGCGTATGAAGGCTGTTCGTAGGATTTCTTGTAGAACATGAGGGACATGTTCTACACCAGCAGAGCAGATTACAGCAAAAGCAAGTGGGAGTGGATGAGGACCTTAGGCGTAGCCCAAAGCGGGTGGATGTGGGAGGCCAGGTGTGTGGTCGAAGTGGGCGAGTGCCAGCAAAAATGGAGCTACGTTTTTCAGGCAGGTGTGGAGAAGAACGATAGATTTTGCAGATGTGATTAGAGCTCAAAGTGGACGGTTGCGATCATCAATTATCAAAGCCATGCAGACCTTTAATGTCGCCTTTGAAATGAAGTGCTACTGTAGTACTACTGACAGTGTGAGCATCAATGTTGATTTGACATCGTATGCTGTAATCACTGTTCTTAGCTGGTCCTCATTCAGTGACTGTACGAACAGATGTATGTGGGGATTTCTGCCCCGACCCAAATCTGAGTGCTCTAATATTGAGTATCGGCTGATACTGAGTCCGATCTGAGGCTTTTATTTTCATAAACAGCTACACAGTGCACACTTCAAGTATTTTTAGGCTAGTAAAATCAATCCAATTTAAACAAATAATTCATTTAAATGTTCTTATTTATTAAACAAAATGTCTCTGTAAAATATCTTAATAAATCTATAGGTGTTAGCTAAAGCCAAAGCCAATAAAAATAAATAAATGAATAAATACCAGGCACAATTCTGCATAAGAATACTCTTGAGCTCTTCAGCTGAACTGAAATACCAACCACTGCTTTTTTCATATTTCTTGTGTTTCATGCTTAAAGCAGTAAAGCTAAGCAACAGCAAAGCTGCAGTATAGTGTAGCTCCAGTGGCCAGCCCAGGCAGTACTAATAGTTGTTATTATTATTAATCATTAATAGGAGTAGTACTTGCAATAGAAAAATTATGACAGAAAGCGGCTGGTGAAACTCTAGTTCATCACTATTAGTCCTGCCCTTGTAGTTGCTGGTCGTACATTTCACCCAAGGCTAACCCAGTGCTAATGTTAACTGAAAACTCTCTTTTCCTCTCTTCCCTTCCATCTCCCACGTTTCTGTCTGTCTTTCTCTCAGAGAAAATGGTGATGCTGCAGATATCCCAGAGGCCAGCGTGGTCGGGTGATACTGTCTCTCTGAGCTGTGATGTGTGGGGTGGTGCACAGGTGGACAAGGCTGTGTTTTTTAAGGATGGAACAGAAATCGAAAAGGGTTCCAAGGATAAATATGACATCTCAAATGTCGCCAAATCCAGCGAAGGCGCGTACACCTGCAGCGCCACCTACAGGTTCACCCACATCAGTGAAACTGCAGCGACCTATAGCAACTTGCCCTCTGATCAACAGGTTCTCAGAGTCATAGGTAACAAAAAACACAATTCACAATAAAGTAATAACAACACGAACACAGGGATACAGTTTTAGACACAGCCGAAAAGCACAGCATCTGCTATTTAAGATCTGTACGAGTGTTGTTTGATGGCAAACAGGCAGAAAACCTGCTGTACTTGATCCATTGTTGCTGCTACCTATCCACAGCCCTGACCCACAATAGGCTCATAAACCTTTGAGTTAACCATAACTAGTTCATAATACAGTCATAATACAATTACGTACATTCCTTAAGCTTTAATAAAACATTCATAATACATTCATAATGTTATCTTAAAACAATCATATCACATTGATAAAACACAAATAATACATTCAGAACAGGTTCCTAATGCAGGGCTAATACTTTAACAGCCACAACGTTCAGATTTATTTAAGCGTGATGAAGTTTACCTAAAGAATTAAAGTTTTCTGCTTTGGTTGGAGAAAACTTCCAACAGATTAATGTAGTATTTGTTTACCATGACTGTATATATGACTAATGTGTTTGATGTGGTAGACGGTCCTCCTATGGCCCACCTGGACTGTAACAGTCTGTACTGTAAGTGCCAGAAGTGTAGAAATTCTCATTCCTACCGCTGGCATTACACTCCCCCTGGAGAAACACGAACAGTGGTACTGCAGGATTCTGATAACCGCATCAGCCCTAAAAAGGATGGGTCGTACACCTGCTCTGCCAAATTTGAGGGGATAGGCCAGTCCCGCCACAGCAACGAGTGTATCCTGAAAGGTAAACACACACACACTCAGACTTTCCTTTCATCTTGAACAGGTACTTTGCACACTTCCATCTTCCAGTGTGATGGTACATGGTGGTCCCCCTGCTGAGCTGATCTGCCCTGACATCATCCTTATAAAAGACCCTTCAGCACCCAGTCCATTTAGACTGTCTCTGTGTTGAGCTAGCGATGGTGGTAAGATCACTACCCAGCAAATTCCCCTGCCCAGGCCAGCATTAAGATGCTTGTTATAACATTAAGAGTTCCTGCGCTCCAGTGTAAAACCAGGCTAGTCATGAGGCAAGTCAGGCTAGTTCTGAGTCAAGTAAGGCTATATAGCCATAAGGCATGTGAGGCTAGTCCTGTGTAAAGCCAGGGTAGTTATGAGGCAACCCAGCTTAGCCCCAGGCCCCACAGTTAAAGAGAGCAAAATGCCCCCCCACCTTCAGTGTATGTGCCAGCAAAAGTACCCACATTTTTAAATATCAACAAAGGTCTGAGATTAGAAGTGCAAGTGTTTCTATTTTGCACTCTTTTCTCATTTAATAAAGTTTTCATCATAAATTCCATTATCAGAGTAACAACTTGAGAGAAAAGTAGAATCTTTAAAATTTTAACACGAATTTCAGATTTTCTTACTATTTCATTTGTCGTTGTTCTGCTGTAATGGCAGTGAGCACTCGAGCTGGTATGATCTTTACAAGTTTGTGTAAAAGTCTCTGATCAGCAGATCAGATCCACCTGAGAGTCATCTGAACACGAGCTTCACTGGAAGAGATCAGATTAAAACACTCGGAGCTTTTAGTACAAACACTCAACATGATCAACTTCACGCCTTTTTACCTTGCTTCAGTTTAAGTAGTGACCCAGAAATAGTGCAAAAAAATTTAAATTATTCATTTTGTCATAACTTTTCTCTGTTTTAAATTCTAGAACCTTTGTTGTTAATTTCCAGGTTTAAATGATGTAGTCTTAATGCAGAAATTAGCCTTCAGCATCTCTGTCTGCTTTCTCTCTATCTCTCTCTCTCTCTATCTATCTCTCCAGAGGATGGAGGCGACGGACCCAACCTCATGCTGATCGTGGTGGTGCTGCTTGTCGTGGGGTTTCTGCTGCTGTTGCTGGGAGTGTATATATATAGAAAGGGTAGAAGACAGAAGAAGATGGAGGCGGGTGCGGACGGAGGATACGAGGAGGTCGGCGCTCAGAAGAAAGGGGCTGGGACAGGGGGCGAGTACGAGCTCCTCAAGCGCAGTGAGGAAGACAAAGAGAAAGCCCAGTACGACACCCTGAAAGGTCAGGGTAAGGGTCAGGGTGAGGGAGGGTATGAACCTCTAAAGGTTGGTCAGTCTGGGGGTGATGTTTACCACACTCTAAAGGAACAAGGTCAGGGAGAGGGTGGGTACGAGGCTCTGAAGACGGCTCAGGCTGAGGTCTACCACACTCTAAAGGAAGGTCAGGATGAGGGAAAGGGGGAATACCAGGCTCTGAAGACCGGTGAGGGTGAAAGTGCAGTTTACCACACTCTAAAAGACCAGGCTCAGGGTCAGGCTGAGGGCAAAGGGGAGTATGAGGCTCTAAAGACCACTCAGGCTCAGGTCTACCACACCCTGGGCCAAAAGCAGGAGTCAGGACAAGCGGAGGGGCAAAAGGCAAAAGATGAAAGTCCATACGAGGAACTCAAAGCTGAGAAAAAAGAGAAAGAGGCTGAGTGAGTGACCTTTACTTAACCACTGTTTGAGGGCATTAAAATAGAAAAAGGTAAAAAGGACCCAAAGACAATTTGATGAGACAGTTTTCCACAGACACTTTGCTCTTTAAATATGATATTAGATGATATTAGCAGCCTTAAAGATTAATTCCAACAAAGTGTCCACATAACTGGGTGTTTTAGATGTAAACAGAGAGATTCAGAGTGGTTTGGTGTGAAATGGTTCAGATGTCTTTACAGTGGTGGTGATAGGAACCAGGGGTCGCCCTGACTACAACACAGATATAGACATTTTATTTACTATCCAGAACCACCAGTGAACCTACACGAGTCTTCTGAGTTAACATGGAATGTTGATGATGGAAAATAGAGGAAAATCTGAAATAATAAGTTTTCTTTGGGGACTATTTTGCCTCACAGCACCCTGCATGTATCCCTCCACCATGAATGGAGTTTAAGTTCTCTACACTATCATAAAACAGTGTCTCAGTCATCAGGCAGGGAATTCATAACCATTTCATGTAGGAACTTTCTGTGAGGGAGCTTTTAGAGGTGGACGTCTGGTTCCTATCACCACCACTGTGAACAGTTCTGACTCGGTAAGTTTCTCTAGAAACCAAACCCCTCTGAACCGCTCTGAACTCCTCTGAACCCCTCTGATTCCCTCTGAACCCCTCTGATTACGTCCCATTCCTGTGATTTACTGAGCCAAAGTATTAAAAAGCTGGAGCCCTCAAATAAATGTAAACCACATGGTTCACTATTGGGCGCGAGACATTTCAAAATTTTTCAAAAGATATATATATATATTTTTTTTTCACAAAAATGTAAATGTGTGGCAAATTCCACTCTGTCACTGACTCTACCTGGGTTTGCAATTAAGGTCAGTATATTTGCGTCCTGTCCTACAGAGTCCAAACTAAACGGTCACCCAAGGGTCACAGATGTTTTGCCACCAAAAATAAACAAAATATTGCTAAACAGGAGCCCCCGCCATTTGAGTATGTGACCCAGGAGTTTAAGAAGGTAGAACAAGAGACAAAAACATTCACTTTAAGAAAATGAGAGGCGAGAAGAAAGTAAAGCGCTTATTCACACCAATGTAGCTGAACCTGTCCAGCAGAAAGTCTAGAAAAACTTCACTTCCATTGATGCAACCATGCGAAGTTTAAAAACACTGCTCCAAATAATTTAGTTATGAGTATTGAATGTTTGCTCTGTCAGGTTGTAAAACACATCTTGAATACTGAGTTTAACCGTTTACAGAACGACTGAACTGAGATGAGTATAAATACAACACTAACAACAACATTTCACTTTAAACCAACAGCCTTCATTTCAATACATTCACAAACAGACCCATTTACTGAAGAGTGAACACTGACAGAGCATTCAACATCTCAGACAACTAAACAAACATCTGTCAAATCTGAGTCATTATTTTCTAACAGCAGAATTTGAAGCTACACTATAATTTCAAAATAGCTTCATGACTAAAAATCGATTTTATTTCCAATATTTCCTTTAATGGAGCCAAACCTGTTTCTTTAAACGTTTCCCTGGATTAGAACAGTCATATCTCTAACATTATAAAGCTTCTTCACTGCTTATTAATTTTATCACACTGAAATGCCCAACAGGTTCTAGATATTAACAGAGTGTGTGTTACAAACATCAAAGTACTATATAATTATAGTGGTAAGTGGTATATAAATATGGTGGTAAGTTTAGAGGGAGTTTAACTAAGTGCTAGATTTTAACTGAGTAAGTGTGAGACAGTCACAAAAGTGCTGTTCAAGTTATTTTGGGTGAAATGATGGTACGATAGGAGATAGTTTAAATCAGAAGCTCCCAGAAAAAATTGGTGAAGTTATATGTGGTAAAATGACAGCACAAAATGCAAAAATGGTTTTGTGAACAGAAAGAACCCACTAGAACCACAGTAAGAACTCCTGCTTCCTTTTACAGCCCATATTCAGTTTAGTTTATGGCTACATACATATGGTTACATACTGTATGCTATATGAGATTCTGTATAAGACTCTGTACTTTATTCATCTGTAATCTTTACCACTCGCTACTCCATACCCAACATAAAGACACAGTACTGTGGAGTTACCAAACACTCACCCAGTTAATATCTAGAACCTGTTTCAATGTAAATTAGCCACTATCATGTTACCCAAATGATTATAAACTAATTTGGAGTTTGTACTTCACACTTACCAGTTTAATATCTAGAACGTAAAGGACTGTTGAAGCGTCGGCGTTGGAGCAGTTTTGGGACTTTGCATGGTTAAATGAATTGAATGGAAGTTTCTGTTTGAAGGTTTTAATGAAATCAGAGCCGTAACTGGACAGCTGAGGGTGAGTTTGAGTGAAATAACCCGAGGACATCATCTGTGTCCTGGTTCTGTTGTTTTTATGAGAGGAGGTGCGGAGATCACCGTGTGCCTCCACTGTTTATCGTAAACAGGCGTTCAAGCTTATGCACTCCAAAGACAATCACTGCACTGTAGCCGCTGTACACTGCTGTTTATAACGAGCTCTTCAGCTCAGTTAACAACATGTATCTTCATCCAGATGTTGCTTGCACTATTATTAGCATTATGTCTATAATGCTTTTTATGTAATTTTTGAATTACATTTTACTTTGCACTTATTTTACATTTCGACGGTTTGTGATTTGTGTGAATTGAAGAGCCCGTATCATAGAATAGCTGAAGCCTCGAAACATACGGTTCCCTCCTCAGTCCAACAACTGCTGTTTTCAATATACTGCTTTTGTGATGTCACTGAAACAAGCACATGTACATATATCCACCCATCTAGCCTACATCAGCTTAGCCCCGCCCATTCACACTGGATAAGCAGTGTTTCAGGCTGGACTGCTTTTTGAATGAGGCTCAGCCAATCAGAACAGAGCTCATTTACATATATCAGTTTAAAGAGTAACTACACCCCACTATGTTCAGCTGACTCCACCCTTGGCTCAACTTTGAAAAATGCTCAAAAATGGGAGGGGCACGCTGGGAGGGGCACTGCAGTGATGTTTGGGTTTGGAGGTGGGGCTACGAGGGAAACCGGGTGGGCTGGGCTGCTGTGTTTTAGAGCTACCAGAAAAGGAGAGAGACAGAATCAAACGGCTCTTTTGTAACTGAGAGTCTTACGAGGCTGAAGATTTCTCTCCACTACCGTCTCCATCTTCCACGAGGGAAGGATTCTCTGATCAGGCAGTGCATCTTGAGCCTTAACAGTATGAGTCACTGACTCAAGTCATGGAAGAGTTAACATGCCAGAAAATGATCAGCAGTGAGCGGCAGAGGCGCCGAACGGTAGAACATTCCCTAAAACCACGACAGCTTCTGTTGATCTGTTCAGCAGGTCCGTATCCGATACATCCCCAGTCCTGATTTCTTAGATGCACTGAATTCTGAATGAATACAGTGGATTTCTTTGAATTCTGAATTCAGTTTGACATCAAGGTTGCAGACTGAGTCACCGGTCAGTCAGGGTTTGCTGCAGTGGCCCTAAATCCTTACGCTCTGCAAGCTGTTCATGGCTCTTACCGGGGTTACATCCTGACCGTAAAAATGATATTTGTAAGATCTGTTCACATTAAAGCAAGGCTGGTATATTTCATTATTACAGAGCAGAGCATTTCAGCTGTTAATGAAAAAAAGGTCTTAGGGTGGAGTCACTCTTTAAAAGATACATCAGACGAAAAATAAATACAAGAAAATATACAAGATATGGGCTCTTTTAAGATTTGCCACTTTGGTACTTTGAATGTGAGGAAAATGTTTATCATCTAAAATATGATATTGTACATATTAATTCAGAGTTTGGAATGTATTTGTGTGTTAAGCTATTTTTTTAGAAAAATGTTTGTATTTTAGCATTTATTTTCTTGTAAATGAAAAAAATGCAGGAGTGATTTCCTTTTAACATAAACCGCAGGCTTCAATAACTGTTACTACTTCACATTTTCACCATTTACAGTAAAAGCTTCAATTTGCTTTCATTTTAAGCAGAAAGAAATAAAAGAATAAAGGTTCAGTGAAATTCTGCAGTGCTGTTCTTTTCTTTACCACCAGAGGGAGACCTGACTCTGACCAACTGACACGGCTGATGAGTTTAGAGAACCACATCCCCCATCAGCCCTCACTCACTTAAAACTACACCTCCCACTAATCACTACTGCTCTCGCTAATCACTTAATTCCTCACCGCTCCTGAGCCTCTGAGTTAGCAACGGGACAACACTGCTAACGAGAGCAGACAAGCTGCGTTCCAGAGCCGAGGCTGCAGCCGAGGTAGGGGGGGTCCTCAGTTGGACTGTTCTGTGAAGACTCCTCCTTAGTAGCCTATTGGTCACACAAATGGAGCAGTCCTAACGAGGCCTTGTGGTGACGTCACCAGAAAGGTCCCGCCTCTTGCAATTGTGGCACGAAACTCTTGGGGGAACTGGTGAGAGAAAATGGAGCCCGTTGTGTTCGTTGCTATGGTAGCTAATAAGGCGACAAGCTTATGTAGTACGATAAACTACACATATGCAAATACTTCTGATTAAAATACGATACATGGGCGAATTCTTTAATTAATCAATCAATCAATCGTTTTACACTTTATAAAGTGTATATATGAGGAACAAAGACTTACATTTTAAACAAACTCTGCAAAAACGGCTCAGTTTCCGTCGTTTTCATGATGCTGTATTTTCCTTCGCGTCGTTCGTGCGCAGAAAACTGTGGGTAGCCGAGGGCCTGTAAGGACACATCAGTTCTGTCCTCTAAATCACTCAGAACGCAGGCTGCATTTCTAGGCTGTTTATGAAGGGTCCTTCACTTTGGAGCAGCCTGCGCCGACGTAGCGGCCGAGAAACGCAGCCTAGACTCTGGAACGCAGATCCTGTATGACAGAAATGTGGGAGACTCAGAAAGGAACCCACTAAGCTCCACACTGTTCACTCAGATGACTTCCTCAGACGGTGTTTTGTAGTCGAATGTTTTTATTCTCAAAGGTGGGAAACGCTTAAAGATCATTTCCAGTTTAAACACCATCTACAGGTTTACAAACATGTTCAGGATGAACAACAAAACATACAGCAAGATAAGAAATACTTGAAAAGAATTAGCATAACAATAATCATAACAAGTTAACGCTTTACTTTAAGGTCTGGTTCTCAACAGTTTATTAACTATTAGCAAGTAATTAATAATACACTAATAAGTAGAAACATTTGAGTAATAAGAAGCAGACCTTAAAATAGTGTTACCAATAATAATAATAATAATAATAATAATAATAATAATAATAATAATACTTTCTCATATTAATAATTTATGCATTTTACAACAAAGAACAGCCATGTAAGAAACAGAAACAACAGAAAGAAAACACTGAAGAGTGCAGTAGAAGAGCTCTGAAGTCCTTCACTTTGGTGTGGAAAGCATGAACATCGCCGGAGTCATCATTTTTAATCTTTTTATTTATTTATGCTAAACTGAACTAATTTTCTGAAGTGCCATTTCAGCAAAGCCCTAAAAACCCAAACATTCTTTAGTGTATATTAGAATGTAAGTAAGTTAGTTAGTTAATTAGCTAATTAATGAATTAATAGTTCTTATAAAACCGTGGATTATAGATTAGAGTTCAGTTCAGGTTTTCTGCTGAAGTTCAGGGTTAGATTAATTTAACAGATATGTAGTTAAATGTTAGACTGAGCTTCTACAGAGGACCCTCAAATGCTGGTAAAATCACGCTGCTTTCAAGTGCAGCCGTTTTTTTTTGTTTTTTTTTAAGACGGAACTTGATCACCTGGATTGGTCACGTTCATGCGGCTCAGCTGTCATCTAGATGTTTTGCTCCAAGGAATTTGATGTAAATTTCACATACTTCAATATTTTCTCTCTCTCTGTAATATAATTACATTATATAAACTCCCTAAAACTGCATCTGCGATGATCCGTCGATGCATGCGAGCAGGTTTGGGTTTCAGATTTAGTGGTACCAGTCATTCCTGATCAGGTCGGGTCTCAAAGTCTCAGGTATGGGTCAGGCTGCACTTTCATGCCTGTACTATTGTTATTATTATGACCATCATCATCATCATCATTATTATTATTAAATGCTGTCAGGTCGACTCCTAATGACCATGGATGGTGTTTGTCCAGAAACAGTTCTGATCGTCTGAGATCGTCTGAAAACTCACTCTGCCAATAAAAGTGGGTCCTCTTGTAGCAACAGCATATTTAAAATCTGTTTTACTGACCACTGTTTCCACAGTAAAGCCCTAGAGCTCAGATTCATCTCCCTCATACCATAATCAGTGTAACGCTAGGCTGAAACAAGCTGTATTAGCGTAGAGCTAAGCGGGATGATTCTTTGATTGGTATTTAGACTGAGTTTGGTTTCAATGACACTGTGCAGTACTGAATTAAAAAGTCCAGGTTTTTCTTCCTGAGTTCGGTTCACAGCATGTTCTAAGTTCAGCACAGCGTTAGTGTTAGAGACGGGGCTACGCTGGGGTTTTACCTAGAACTTTCTCCAAAGACATCCTATATTTTCTGCTACATTTCCCAAACGAGACATTAACTGAGCTGAAAAACCACTGAGTGCTTAGCGCTAGCTCAGCATGAAGCCCATGCAGGCACAGCAGCCACATTTTCAGGCTTCCACACCAGAGAGAAGGAGCTGGACACTTTTTAAGAGCTTATCTATCAAACTTCAAAAAAAAACAAAAACAAAGACACATATTCTACTGACCCTGCATAATCACCCCCTTCAGCCTCACCTGGTCTCAGGAGGGGGCTCTGTGTCAACGTCACCATGTCTACACGAATGCGTTATTATAACTAGGCAAAATGGAACGCCCACCTTGCCATGGCAACCTGTTGCCAAGTGAAGTGCATTCTGTTCAAGTGTGAATCTTACTGTCATTAATATTACAGTGCTCTACAGCCGGCAATGCCTGTATGTGTGCTTGTTTCCACAAGCTCAGTGTCAAGCGGTTGATTGGTGGAGAAGAATAAAAAGATAAAGAAAAAAGAAAGAAAGAAAGAATGAAAGAACACAGCTGCACGTCCACAACTGTTGATTCCTATGTGGGTTTCACAGCCGGTAACTCTACCCATTTACTGAAGTAGTCCACTTTAACCAATCAGAGGTCATAACCAGACTACTCCAACCAATCAGTGAGCTGAAACAGTCAACTCAAACCAATCAGAAACCAGGGGACGTAATACAGAAACCTCCTATGTTTTAGTTCTAGGTTAAGATAAGATTTTTCACAGTTTCATTTTACAGAAGCAAATCTTAATTTAGGAATTTCTTATCTTACAGCATCTTATCTCCAGTTAGGAAACCTTAACCTACTCGATCAAAGCTGATAATTAACTGTTATGTCTGTTGCCTAGTAACTGATCATATGCGCACAGCTGAAACGTAAACATGTAGTTAAAATAATATTAAAAATGTAAGTTACGGTAAAAAACGTCAAAAAACTAAAGTGTGATAAACTGTAAGTTGTGAGCGCCCCCTGCTGTTTATCAGAGCGTCGCCGCTCCCCAGTTTCAGTCTCCGTTTCCCAAACGCTTTAGCCGAGCGCGCTAACGTTACTCCTCCTAATAAACAGACCCACGTTCAGCTCCGCCTCCTCATTATTCACCACCATCACTGTAATATTTCATCATCAACATTAACACACGAAGGTGATCAGAGGGGCGGTGGAGATCGAGTCTGCAGCGTCTGAGATCTTTAAAACGCAGAGTTAGAAAAGAAAATCATCTCACAGTGAAAGCAGCGTTTTACAGTAGAGATAAATGGAGCTCATTATGCTGGTAGTGAACTATGCTGCTGACTCAGCTGCCTAAAAACCATAGAAACGGACCTTAAACAGAAGTGAGGACCCTGTTGGGGTTCATCCTAAAGTTAGGACAGGATTTAGGAGGTTTAGTCTAGTTAGGATGTTTGTATGATGCTTTTTCTTATCTGGAGTTCATGATGAGATTATGAAGTTCAGAACTGTTATTCTGTAATTGTAACGTTGGATGGCTCACCAGACCACCAGGTTTTGGGGACACAGGACCCAAGTGCCAAACTTCTGTACAGCAGATGGATAAGCTGTACAACGATAAGGACTTCAGCACCTGATAAGTCTGGGGATTGAACCCGGGCCCTGTGCGACGCTCTACCGCTCCTCCACCGCAGCCGTGGTGAAGCCCGCTGAAAGGAGCGCCCTTATATGGGATTGCCCGAAAATAGGTGGGAAAAGCTGTCCAAATTTGTACACCCACCCATTTTTGTCAGGCGGGAAAAAGACAAAGGATGCCGGGGAAAACTGGCTTTCTCAGAAGTTGAGTGAAAATGAAGTAACTGAAAAGGGACAAATGACTTTCCCAACAGAAACAGAACCAAAAAATAGAACAGAACGTTTTTTGTTTTTTTTTGTTTTTTTGAGAGCAGAGAAGGAGAAAAAGTGAGGGGGAGTGCGAAACTCAGCCCTCTTACCAAAATTACCGGCCGTTTCTGTTGGCTCACAATGAGACAAAGACACATCAACGCGTGTCTCCTTCTCTGCGGTTATAAAGCCCTCTGCCCAGGTGTACGACATTGCGCTTGATTGGACCTGGGAGGTGTGCGTTGCCTCCCTCTGGTGGCCAGGAGCGCCGCAGCCCTGGAGCCAGCCCTTACAGTAATAGCTACTGTCCTAAATTCAGTCCGTAGTGAAGTCGTCACGGAGACCAAACAGATCAGATTTCAGAGTTAAGACGTTTCTGTAGTACGGCCCCTGATTTTTAGCCAAAGCAAAACTAGCCATCTAGTGCTACCTCCTCACCCACCTCTAAGTGTGCTACAGTAAGTATACAACTGTGTTTTAAATGAAGTTATGTCACTAGGATAGTGTTGTTTTAAAGTCTGAAGAATGAGCCTCTGCACACGGTGGGCTAATAAATGTTTTGGAGATTGAAAAGGGGACCAGTGTTACACAATATTGGCACAATATTGTTTTTGTGGGTTACTTCTCAGAAGAAGACACATGCACTGCTGCTCTCCCACATGAGCTCATGTGAAGCCACTGGGAGAAGCACGGGAAAAAGACGGTGGAGGCAGGGGTGATGTGGCTGGTGAATTAGAAAAAGGTTCCTAATGTTCTAGAAGAGTGACTAACTGCAGTACAGTGACTGCAAAGAGTTCTGGTAAGACATACAGTCTGTTCACAAACACACAAAAACACACACATCATTGCACTGCCACAGCCCTGGTAGACATTTCACTGCAGTTCGGGTTTCACGAACCCCACAGTTCTTCGATCTGGAATCATATTTCACCTTCCTGTCTCTCTAGGGGTGTAAAAATGCATCAGTCTGAAGGTGGTGATTCAACTGCATCATTTTAGCAATGTTGGGAATTGTGTTAATTTGTAATAATATTCAAGGCCTGTTTCCAGTGATAATTATTCAGCAGCCTGACAGTAAAACTATATCAAAATATACATATTTTGTGGTGTACATTTTAGGACATCCTCAGACCACAGCATCACTTTTCAGACATTAGACAAAACGGCTCCAGCTCTCTGGGAAAAACACTATCAGTCTCAGCTCTAGTACGACTGGACCTCAGGACAAACGGCCTTAGAGAAAAGGCATCAGGCTAAGTGGCCTCAGACGGTAAAGTTCATGTGACGTTGGCAATTCTGTTCTTAGTCACTAGATTAATTACAGATTTGTGGCCAAAATAAAGATGTATATATTACTTTTACTGGACAAAGATTAAGCCTAAACTCATTCTATTACCGTGGTTACTCCTGTATTCACTTTAGAGTTAGGAACCATCACAAAACGGCTGGCAGAATAAGTAAATAAATGCTTTATAGAAATTTAAAAAAAGGTAAAGTAAGGAACTTTCACTGTGTTAAAAATGACCACAGTAAATGGGGTTTCTTCACTTTACCTTTCTCTGGCTACTTTCAAGAGTAAAAACCCAAAACAATAAAAGGCGTGGTGTATCACTGGTGTTATCTATATTCCACTACCGTGTAAATGGTTCTTTCAGTTATATTTGTAGGTTAAGTGATTTTTTTTAAATAAGTCCGAATCATACCAAAATAACCTAATCGAATTGTGGTGCAATTTGAGACTGATGCAGTGAAAAGTTTCCTAAAGAATCGTAATTAAATTTCTGTGAGGTCAGAGATTTACACCCCTCTCTCTCTCTCTCTTCTCTCTCTCTCTCTTTTTCTCTATGTCTATGTAAGCTCTCTCTCCTCCTCTGCTCCGTACAAGTAGCTGTTCGTCCCGGCTGGCTGGATGTACTCCTCTGTCTTGTCCCAATCAGAGACCCATTTACCCCCACCTCCTCCAGTCCCCGCCCCATTTGGGTCGCCTGCTTGGCTGGTGGCTCCATAGCCACCACCCCCAGTCCGGTAGAGCTCTTCTGTTTCATCCGCTAGCTCGTCCTCTCCCAGAATTCCACACTTCTCCTCACTGGTGTTTTCCGGCTCCGCCCATGCCTGCTTCTCTCCAGATGCAAAAATACCTGTGACCCACAAACAGGTGATATGACTACCATGACCTAATATATCATTTAGTTGTAATTAATGATGTCATCCATGATGTCTCAATAAGATGATATCATCATGTTATCAAGATACATCCATTTGCAATGTGCACCACCATCAACACCTGAGTCTGCGGCCAACGGTTTTGAGATGTACACCAATGCCCACCCTTATGCCAGGATCAGACTACACAGTATTTTTGTCTTTCACGATGGTCACTATGTCAAATTAGGCAATCAGTGCCATAAATCCATGCCATGTCTTGGCTGACGCCATTTGAAATGATTTTGGAGTGGTTACTGGATGTCAAGAAGAGGACAATATGGCTGTCCTTCAAAGAGAACTTAAGGTAATTAATGTGTTAACATATCAACAAAATTATATAAAAGTAGCTATCAGGTTTGCAGTACATAAACAAATGCTTACGGCATGTGCTTATCCCACTGGGGAGAGGAGAACTGTGAGCGAGTGGGGGACAGTGCACTAATCCCGAGCACTGCTGAGGGAAGTGAGTGACAGCGGGAGGAGGACATCAGCCGCCAGAGAGGGGATGACAACAATTACGGCCACGAGGGGCATGAAGGCAAGGCTCAGGACTCGCGTGTCGTCCCCCACTCACTCGCTTTCTTCTCTCCCTGCCAGCCTCGCCGTGGTGCATCCTCACTCAGAGTTCAGGCCCCACCTTCCTGCCGGCTCTCGCAGCCGTCATCGGGACCAGGGGGACAGGCACATGCCATAATGCTATAAACACTATTTCTCACCAGCATTTATCTTTTTGGACTCTGTCATGGTTCTCACTCTAGGAAACATGAGAAAGGCAGGGGTTCCGTTGCCACATCAAAGAAGCTTTCCTCTGTTTCGTTGTTGCACCTGACAGCTGCAACAGCAGCGTCCCTCTTTCTCTTTGGCGTGTTTACATATGTGTGCCAGAGAATGCTCTGTCATCCTATTAGTTAATGTCAAGGAGCATGCCATAGAAGATGTCAGACTAGGCAGAACAAGACAAAAACTCTGACATGCTAGACTTTTCACCAGGGTGTCGTGGGCTGTCCGAGATGCCACATCACTGTTCTTCAATTATGTCACACTACAAAACCCGTTGATCGTTCCCAACACTCATTTCAGGCCTGACACTGGAAATTTGTCAGCTGTGACAAAATCATGTCAGAATTATGCTCAGTTTGTGCAGACTGACCCCAGCATAACTTTAACCCTACACTTGCAAAATGAAGGTGCAAAAAGGAGCAGATGCCATAGTCTAGTGTTGAACAACACTGCTCCTGCTGAACTAAATTAACTCCTGATTAGCTGGACAAAACATATTGGAGTTAGGTAAGGGAGGAGATTCAGACTGCATTTTTTTCTGGTAGGTTAGAAAAATTAAGAGAATCTTTTTTTGAGAAAAAGGAGATCTTGGAGATCTTTTTTGATATAAGCATCTTGAACTCAGAAAGTTGTGGGGCATCACCACAGAAGGTCAAATGTCAAGGTCAAGAAATTTTTTACAAGCAATTTTGGGGCATATCGATTGGCCCATTCATCATGAGATCTTCCCACAATGGCAATGGCAGCTGTTCAAATGAACCAGAATGCACAATGACGATACTCCAAAGGCTAAACATTGCATTTGCTATTCTCCTAAAGCAATTTTTAACACACACTGACAGATCTGTGTGGATGTAATGGGGTAACACTGTTAAAATACTGTTTCGTTTCATAGTTAAAAAGTAGGCATCGCAATATACTGTGCTGACTGGTGTCCTTCATGTGTTTGTTTTGATCAGAAACCTTAAAAGGCTAATGCACATCTTCATATTTGGCAGTGTGCACCAATTTGTACAGCAGCCTACAAATGGGACAACTGCAAAAAATATTACAGTATTCAGTAGACCAGTCTGCTTACCTCTCATCTTTAGAAAAGAAAACACCATTATTTTGTGCAGGATCATGTGGGCCAGTGTTTCTCCTGAACAGTAGTTCTCTTTTAAAGTCCTCTTGAGGGCAGGGTCAGTTGAAAAGAGGGCTCATGGAAAAATCCATATATCCTTGGTTCTACATATTACCAAGTGATTATGTAATCTAATTACTGTCTGTTAGATAATTAATGAAGTGTTGCTGTTCTTCATTAGGAGTTAATGACGATCAGGAACAATATAAGATGAAACAATGGGAACTCATTATTAATGAACTAGGAGTTGATGATGATCAGGAACAGTATTATAAAGTGAAACACATGGTAACTCATTACTAATGAACTAGGAATCAATGATGATCTGGAACAGTATAAAGTGAAACACATGGTAACTCATTATTAATGAACTAGAAGTTAATGATGATCTTGAACAGTGTTATGAAGTGAAACGTGGTAACTCACTAGTAATGAACTAGGAGTTAATGACAATCAGGAACATTATAATAAAGTGAAACACATGGTAACTCACTAGCAATGAACTAGGAGTTAATGATGATCTGGAACAGTATTATTAATTGAACTACATAAGAAATAAAAAACCCTGAAAAAATGCTATACTGTAGTACAAAAATATTAATAAAGAAATTTTGAAAAAAAGGAAGAATAAATAAGTTGTTTATTGAGTGCATTTTTTATTTGTGAACAGTCCAAATGTGAAAACATCCCTGAGTTAACTAGCTATATCATTGAAAATAATAAACCCAAACAAAATAAAATCAAAATCTGTCATTACTACTGAAGGAGAACGTCTGAGAGCTGAGACTGATCACAGTATGTTCTGCTAGTACATTAATTACACATCTTTCTATTTCATATTAAGTGCATCTTGGTCAGTGTTTATAAGCAAGTCTTCTATCACCACAATCCACTACTACTACTACTACTACAGTACTACTACTACTACTACTACAACTAATAATAATAATAATAATAATAATAATAATAATAATAATGATAATAATAATAATAATAATAATAATAATTATTATTATTATTAGTAGTAGTAGTAGTAGTAGTAGTAGTAGTGGTACTGTAGTAGTAGTAGTAGTAGTAGTATTAATACCTAGAGGCTTTGACATTTAAAATAATAAACATTTTAAAGTTCTATTGAATTAAATAAACTTGCAATTAACAGTAGAGTTGCACAGCACTCTTATTATGATAGCTTATTATGATAGGTTTTTGCGAGTGCTGGTAAAGGAGAGCAATAAATCCTGCATTCTCAGTGGATTAGTTTGATAATTCTCTTCATATTTTAAGTCTGACTCGCTGTATCTCCTGATGTATAATGAGTGAATCAGACTCATGCCAGACCCCTGGGCTGCTAATGTGAGACTTTTGATTCAGATTCAAGGTTTTATTCAGACTGCAGCACTAATGTAGAGACACAGTTAGCTGACTTGCTAACTAATCTGAGCTAAGTAGGTTCGGCCTTCTTGTACAATGTCTGTTTTACCATGTTATTTCAGAATTATAAGCACGTTAGTGCTTTATTAAACCTAAAGCTGCTGCTGATGTTCTGTTATGAGTGCATGCTAGCTAGCTAGTTAATTTAGCTAATGTAAGCTAAGCTAATAGGCAGTAAAACTTTGTGCTTCAGATATGAAACAGAAAGATGTGTAATTAATGTACTAGCAGAACATACTGTGATCAGTCTCAGCTCTCAGACTTTCTCCTTCAGGAGCAATGACAGACTTTGATTTAATTTTGTTTGGATGTATTATATTCAATGATTTAACTAGCTTACTCAGGGATGTTTTTTGCAAAAAAAAGGACTAAATAAACAACTTATTTACTCTTACTTTTTTCAAAATTTCTTTATTAATATTTTTTGTACTACAGTATATCATTTATTTAGGTTTTTATTTCTAATGTAGTTCAATTCATAATACTGTTCCTGATCCTCATTAACTCCTAGTTCATTAATGATGAGTTACCATGTGTTTCATTTTATAATACTGTTCCTGATCATCATTATCTCCAAGTTCATTACTAGTGAGTTACCATGTGTTTCACTTTATAATACTGTTCTTGATCATCATTATCTCCAAGTTCATTACTAGTGAGTTACCATGTGTTTCACTTTATAATACGGTTCCTGATCATCATTAACTCCTAGTTCATTACTGATGAGTTACCATTGTATTATTTTATATTGTTCCTGATCATCATTAACTCCTAATGAAAAACAGCAACACCTCATTCATTATCTAACAGACAGTAATTACATAACCACTTAACTAGAATACTGTAGTTTTTCAGCAGTTGTCCCATTTGTAGGTGCAAATTGGTTCACACTGCCAAATATGAAGACATGCATTAGCCTTTTAAGGTTTCTGGTCAAAACAAACACATGAGGGACACCAGTCAGTACAGTGTGGTGTGATGTCCCCAGCCCTCTCTGAGGATACCTGTTTCTGTGAATAGAATGGGTATAATCCATTATATTGTAGAGATGCACTCTGTGTAGTGTATTTCACTACTGTTAGCAGTGTTGGAGTACACTACATCAGTTAGTGGTTCAGCAGGAACCTTGTCAGACTCTTGTCAGCTATTGAGCAATTAATGTTGAATTGATCAGTCATTTATGAGTAGTTATTCTAAGAAAACATAGTTACTAAGTAATTCTCTATGAGACTCAGTAGTTATTGTTTAGTTAATAGTGAACAACCCTAATCATTAGTTCACTTTTGCCCTCTGAGTAGTTAACTAGTAGTCATTGGTAGTTAAGAGTAGTTACTTGGTAATGCAGCACTACTCATTCATTCCTGCTTAATTCCTGATTAGTTACTTATTAACTATGAAAAATATTGTAAAGTGCTACCCATAATGGCAGTGTGGTTCTGCAAATGGATGCCACTGATGTTATCACTTTGTTATATGAAAACAAACGATTGGCTAAATGTTACATACCTGAAGAAGCAAATCAAAAGGGGAACATTTCAGTTAAAACTTTGACATCTGCAGAGGAACTAAAGCATAATGATTTATGGGCCAAAGAAAGAAAGAAAGAAACAAGAGACAGAAATACACACCATAGAAGATAACACCGCCATAATGAACCAAGGAAGCAATGAGAAACACATACTGCCACTCCTCCCGAGTCTACAGGGCGAGAGAGAGAGAGAGAGAGAGAGAGAGAGAGAGAGAGAGAAGTAGAAAGAGAGAGAGAGGTAGAAGGAGGAGTATGTGTGTGTGTTAGAGGGAATTAGTGATAAATGAGAGAAACAGAAGGATAGTTAGTATGGATACCATGAAAGAGAGAACAGGTAACAGAATGAGAAACAGACGCTGAAAGAGAGATGAAACAGAAGCTGCAGAGCATGATGGGAAGAGCCAAACTCTGTAGGAAGCACACTGTTTATCAGAACACGGTCCTGGAGGCAAAATGAACTCTGACATGTTGTCTGTGTTTTTATGTGCATATCATCACTGTTAAGACAAAACAGGAGCTTTACCGGAAAAGGAAAAAACATTCATTACTTTTAAAGAAAACTACTCAGTGGCCAGTAAATTGGGAGAGGTCAGTTAGTATCCTAATAACAAAGGAAAGAGACAAGAAAGAGTGTGCAAACCATAATGTTGTAGCATTTCCACAGTTGAGGGAGGACACACAGCTTCTGCACTATTCGTTTTGCTTTATTAAGGGCTGTATTGGCCACAGCCACGCCGTACAGATAAGCAAGGCTTCAGGCTAACAGCTAGCTCTAGCTCAAATCAGGTCTGCACCCCTTTGCATCTAAGCCGCAAGTGACTGGCTCTTCCTGTTGTCCCCACATACACAAAGAGCTCTGCCTTCACAATAAGAGCCCTTATAGAATAAACCTAGTGACTAAATGCTGATGAAGAATTACTCCACATTGGTGATGGAGTAAGACAAGGCTGCCCACTGTCACCATACTTGTTTAACCTGCATACAGAACATATAGAGAGAAGCAGAACTGGAGGAAGATGACTGAGAGTTCAAGATTAGTGGGGGAAAAATCATAACTGTGAAAACTGGACAACAAAAATAGTGACGCCTTTGAACTTTGGTGTTGGACTTTTAAGAGTACAATAGATGGCAAAGAAAACAAACAAAATCAAACCAAGCCTCACCTCTCACTCAAAGACAACCAAACAGAGGCTCTTATTTTGGACAATTATTAGAGGAACCAATTCACTGGAAAAGACTATTATGCTTGGAAGAGTGGACTGTAAGAAAGGAAGAAGATAACCATCAACAAGATGGACTGATACAATCAGAGGAATTATGAACCAGTCATTAAGAAGCCTGAAGACCCGAACAGAAGACAGGATATTCTGGAGAAACACTATCCATATGGTATCAGCAGTTGGAACTGATGACAGCTCTTAATTGTAATGATAGTAATAATAATAATAATTGTATGAAGAATTTCTGGAAAATTTATTTTGGACTATTTCTATTTTTCTATTCATCATGAAATGTTCACAGAAAGTAAAGATCTGCTGGAGTTTTCAAATTTTGTAAGTAATCAATAAAAATGGAGATACAAGGTTTTGTCTGAACAATGACAATAAGTGTATGTCTATGTGTATGATTCTTTTGTTTTTGTGTGTATATGTTCGTGTATGTACCTTATGTTTAGTCATGGCACCTACGATCAGTGGGCACACCATCCCTGACAGAGTGCCCACTCCGTTAGAGATGCCCATCAGGATGCTGGCATAGCGTGGAGCAATATCCAAATGGTTCACATTAAACCCTGCAGAGACAGAGGCACATTTATTAGTCTTAACTCTAATAGTGTTTTCACACTCAAATGCTGGAACACAACCAGCATACATGGTCAGGCTAATGGTCAGGCTTTGTATGATTCAATCCTGCAGCCCACAAATGGTACTTTACTGGGGTGCACACGCAAATGTTTGCTACAAAAGTCTTCTTAAACAGGATGTGATGCCCTCTGTATGTTTTACCAGCAGATCATTCATCCAAAGTACATTCTGTGATGTTTTTCTCTCACTAAAGCTGTGTTGCTTTCACACAGTTACCACCAGAATCAGGTACAAAATATACACCTTTGACTTTTTTCACTCACAAAACTAATGGTAATTCTTCTCTCATCTGAGTTACCACAAGTTGATGTTTAACTTCTTGCTGTTTAACTGCTGTTACACAAAAAGGTACTTTTTTCAATTATGTTAATGTTTTGTGTTTTTTCACAATAAAGCAATTTCAGCCCAGCCAGTAGGGGGCACAGTGCCCCCTTACTACTTTTTACCACATAATCTAGCCGTCCCAGTGTAGGATGCAAGAGAGAAGTAGTTCCTACACTAAAGGCTTCAAAGGCTTCCAGACCTCTAACTCAAACTGTCACTATCATCCAAACCTCAAATCCTCACTATCATCCAAACCTCAAATCCTCACTATCATCCAAACCTCAAATCCTCACGATCATACAAACCTCAAACCCTCACTATCATCCAAAACTCAAATACTCACGATCATACAAACCTCAAACCCTCACTATCATCCAAAACTCAAATACTCACGATCATCCAAAACTCAAATCCTCACTATCATCCAAACCTCAAACCCTCACTATCATCCAAAACTCAAATCCTCACGATCGTACAAACCTCAAACTCTCACTATCATCCAAAACTCAAATCCTCACTATCATCCAAAACTCAAATCCTCACTATCATCCAAAACTCAAATCCTCAAAATCATACAAACCTCAAACCCTCACTATCATCCAAAACTCAAATCCTCACGATCATACAAACCTCAAACTCTCACTATCATCCAAAACTCAAATCCTCACTATCATCCAAAACTCAAATCCTCACTATCATCCAAAACTCAAATCCTCAAAATCATACAAACCTCAAACCCTCACTATCATCCAAAACTCAAATCCTCACGATCATACAAACCTCAAACTCTCACTATCATCCAAAACTCAAATCCTCAAAATCATACAAACCTCAAACCCTCACTATCATCCAAAACTCAAATCCTCACTATCATACAAACCTCAAACCCTCACTATCATCCAAAACTCAAATCCTCACTATCATACAAACCTCAAACTCTCACTATCATCCAAAACTCAAATCCTCAAAATCATGCAAACCTCAAACCCTCACTATCATCCAAAACTCAAATCCTCACGATCATACAAAACTCAAACCCTCACTATCATCCAAAACTCAAACCCTCACTATCATCCAAAACTCAAATCCTCATGATCATACAAACCTCAAACTCTCACTATCATCCAAAACTCAAATCCTCACAATCATACAAACCTCAAACCCTCACTATCATCCAAAACTCAAATCCTCACTATCATCCAAAACTCAAACCCTCACTATCATCCAAAAATCATACCCTCACTATCATCCAAAACTCAAACCCTCACTATCATCCAAAACTCAAATCCTCATTATCATCCAAAACTCAAATCCTCACTATCATCCAAAACTCAAACCCTCACTATCATCCAAAAATCATACCCTCACTATCATCCAAAACTCAAACCCTCACTATCATCCAAAACTCAAATCCTCACTATCATCCAAAACTCAAACCCTCACTATCATCCAAAACTCAAATCCTCACTATCATCCAAAACTCAAATCCTCACTATCATCCAAAACTCAAACTCTCACTATCATCCAAAACTCAAACCCTCACTATCATCCAAAACTCAAACTCTCACTATCATTCAAAACTCAAACCCTCACTATCATCCAAAACTCAAACCGTTACTATCATCCAAAACTCAAACCCTCACTATCATCCAAAACTCAAATCGTTACTATCTTCCAAAACTCAAATCCTCACTATCATCCAAAACTCAAACCCTCACTATCATCCAAAAATCAGACCCTCACTATCATACAAAACTCAAACCCTCACTATCATCCAAAACTCAAACCCTCACTATCATCCAAAACTCAAATCGTTACTATCATCCAAAACTCAAACCCTCACTATCATCCAAAACTCAAACCCTCACTATCATCCAAAACTCAAACCGTTACTATCATCCAAAACTCAAACCGTTACTATCATCCAAAACTCAAACCCTCACTATCATCCAAAAATCAGACCCTCACTATCATCCAAAACTCAAACTGTTACTATCATCCAAAACTCAAACTCTCACTATCATCCAGAACTCAAACCCTCACTATCATCCAAAACTCAAATCGTTACTATCATCCAAAACTCAAACCCTCACTATCATCCAAAACTCAAACCGTTACTATCATCCAAAACTCAAACCCTCACTATCATCCAAAACTCAAATCGTTACTATCTTCCAAAACTCAAATCCTCACTATCATCCAAAACTCAAACCCTCACTATCATCCAAAACTCAAACTCTCACTATCATCCAAAACTCAAATCCTCACGATCATACAAACCTTAAACTCTCACTATCATCCAAAACTCAAATCCTCACTATCATCCAAAACTCAAATCCTCACTATCATACAAAACTCAAACCCTCACTATCATCCAAAACTCAAACCATTACTATCATCCAAAACTCAAACCGTTACTATCATCCAAAACTCAAACCCTCACTATCATCCAAAACTCAAACCGTTACTATCATCCAAAACTCAAACTCTCACTATCATCCAAAACTCAAACCCTCACTATCATCCAAAACTCAAACCCTCACTATCATACAAAACTCAAACTCTCACTATCATCCAAAACTCAAACCCTCACTATCATACAAAACTCAAACCCTCACTATCATCCAAAACTCAAATCGTTACTATCTTCCAAAACTCAAATCCTCACTATCATCCAAAACTCAAACCCTCACTATCATCCAAAACTCAAACTCTCACTATCATCCAAAACTCAAATCCTCACGATCATACAAACCTTAAACTCTCACTATCATCCAAAACTCAAATCCTCACTATCATCCAAAACTCAAACTCTCACTATCATCCAAAACTCAAACCCTCACTATCATCCAAAACTCAAATCCTCACGATCATACAAAACTCAAATCCTCACTATCATCCAAAACTCAAACCCTCACTATCATCCAAAAATCATACCCTCACTATCATCCAAAACTCAAACCGTTACTATCATCCAAAACTCAAACCCTCACTATCATCCAAAACTCAAATCGTTACTATCTTCCAAAACTCAAATCCTCACTATCATCCAAAACTCAAACCCTCACTATCACCCAAAAATCAGACCCTCACTATCATACAAAACTCAAACCCTCACTATCATCCAAAACTCAAACCCTCACTATCATCCAAAACTCAAACCGTTACTATCATCCAAAAATCAGACCCTCACTATCATCCAAAACTCAAACTGTTACTATCATCCAAAACTCAAACTCTCACTATCATCCAGAACTCAAACCCTCACTATCATCCAAAACTCAAATCGTTACTATCATCCAAAAATCAGACCCTCACTATCATCCAAAACTCAAATCCTCACTATCATCCAAAACTCAAACCGTTACTATCATCCAAAACTCAAACCCTCACTATCATCCAAAACTCAAATCGTTACTATCTTCCAAAACTCAAATCCTCACTATCATCCAAAACTCAAACCCTCACTATCATCCAAAACTCAAACTCTCACTATCATCCAAAACTCAAATCCTCACGATCATACAAACCTTAAACTCTCACTATCATCCAAAACTCAAATCCTCACTATCATCCAAAACTCAAACTCTCACTATCATCCAAAACTCAAACCCTCACTATCATCCAAAACTCAAATCCTCACTATCATCCAAAACTCAAACCGTCACTATCATCCAAAACTCAAACCATTACTATCATCCAAAACTCAAACCCTCACTATCATCCAAAAATCAGACCCTCACTATCATCCAAAACTCAAACCCTCACGATCATACAAAACTCAAACCCTCACTATCATCGAAAACTCAAACCGTTACTATCATCCAAAACTCAAACTCTCACTATCATCCAAAACTCAAACTCTCACTATCATCCAAAACTCAAACTCTCACTATCATCCAAAACTCAAACCGTTACTATCATCCAAAACTCAAACCCTCACTATTATCCAAAACTCAAATCGTTACTATCTCCCAAAACTCAAATCCTCACTATCATCCAAAACTCAAACCCTCACTATCATCCAAAAATCAGACCCTCACTATCATATAAAACTCAAACCCTCACTATCATCCAAAACTCAAACCCTCACTATCATCCAAAACTCAAACCGTTACTATCATCCAAAAATCAAACCCTCACTATCATCCAAAACTCAAACTGTTACTATCATCCAAAACTCAAACTCTCACTATCATCCAAAAATCAGACCCTCACTATCATCCAAAACTCAAATCCTCACTATCATCCAAAACTCAAACCCTCACTATCATCCAAAACTCAAACCGTTACTATCATCCAAAACTCAAACCCTCACTATCATCCAAAACTCAAATCGTTACTATCTTCCAAAACTCAAATCCTCACTATCATCCAAAACTCAAACCCTCACTATCATTCAAAACTCAAACTCTCACTATCATACAAAACTCAAATCCTCACGATCATACAAACCTTAAACTCTCACTATCATCCAAAACTCAAATCCTCACTATCATCCAAAACTCAAACTCTCACTATCATCCAAAACTCAAACCCTCACTATCATCCAAAACTCAAATCCTCACGATCATACAAAACTCAAACCCTCACTATCATCCAAAACTCAAACCATTACTATCATCCAAAACTCAAACCGTTACTATCATCCAAAAATCAGACCCTCACTATCATCCAACACTCAAACCCTCACTATCATCCAAAACTCAAACCCTCACTATCATCGAAAACTCAAACCGTTACTATCATCCAAAACTCAAACTCTCACTATCATCCAAAACTCAAACTCTCACTATCATCCAAAACTCAAATCCTCACTATCATCCAAAACTCAAACTCTCACTATCATCCAAAACTCAAACCCTCACTATCATCCAAAACTCAAATCCTCACTATCATCCAAAACTCAAACTCTCACTATCATCCAAAACTCAAACCCTCACTATCATCCAAAACTCAAACTCTCACTATCATCCAAAACTCAAACCCTCACTATCATCCAAAACTCAAACTCTCACTATCATCCAAAACTCAAATCCTCACTATCATACAAAACTCAAACCCTCACTATCATCCAAAACTCAAACCATTACTATCATCCAAAACTCAAACCGTTACTATCATCCAAAAATCAGACCCTCACTATCATCCAAAACTCAAACCCTCACTATCATCCAAAACTCAAACCCTCACTATCATCCAAAACTCAAACTCTCACTATCATCCAAAACTCAAACCCTCACTATCATCCAAAACTCAAATCCTCACTATCATCCAAAACTCAAACTCTCACTATCATCCAAAACTCAAACCGTTACTATCATCCAAAACTCAAACTCTCACTATCATCCAAAACTCAAACTCTCACTATCATCCAAAACTCAAACCCTCACTATCATCCAAAAATCAGACCCTCACTATCATCCAAAACTCAAACCCTCACTATCATCCAAAACTCAAATCCTCACTATCATCCAAAACTCAAATCCTCACTATCATCCAAAACTCAAACTCTCACTATCATCCAAAACTCAAACTCTCACTATCATCCAAAACTCAAACCATTACTATCATCCAAAACTCAAACTCTCACTATCATCCAAAACTCAAACTAACACCATCATCCAAAACTCAAACCATGTATCCAATGTATGGTGGCCATCCAGCCTTTGAGTGCACCTATGCCCATATCTAAACATCAACACATGGATGTTTACGTCAGCATTATGCGACAGACACCATACTTATGAACAACAAAAAGCTGTGCAGCAAACAGTGTGTTCATTCTATTTACCAAATGTCACTCAACAAATGCACTGCCTTGCAAGAGGAACTTTCGAGATATTTCATTTTACTTCTCCTTGTAATTTGATCATCACCAAAAATATGAATTTCAGTATTCTTTCATGAACTTGAGGATTAAGAGTCAAAATCAAGGTTCATTTTAGCTGATAGCCTCATCTTCAGAAAATAAAGGGAGGTCCCGTTTTCTATGAAGATGAAGTCTGCTTTGTATTTGTCAGCTTCTTGTTTGATTTTTTTCCTTCCACCTTAAATGATACAGCAGTTATTGAATTCAAACAAAAAATCTGGTGAATAAGAAATTAGTGCACATAAGAAAATGCTTTTAAAATGCTTTGTGAATGCATTTAACGTGGAAGGAGAAAATTCAAACAAGACGCTAGTAAATAGGAAACCAGCCTCGTCCATTTCTATCAGCAGGTTCTGTTATTACATTTCTGAGATGTTGATTTGAGCAGGACTGCTATTACTGAGGAGCTCTAAGTTTGGAGAATTATAGAGATATTTCACTCCAGAATTATAACTTAGCAGACTATAAAGCACTACAAACATGGTAGATTTGTACTGGATTAAAATCCCGCTCGAAAAAGGCTACAGTTCAAAATTTCATTATTCTATATATAAATATATGAATAAGCTAGGCTATAGTTAGAAATTTCATTATTCTATATATAAATATATAAATAAGCTAGGCATCTGGTTCCACAAACTGCAGCCAGATTTATATTCTTTCTTTGATTCAAAAATCCACAAACATGACACTAAACTTTAACTTTCATTCTTTCTCCAAGCCTAAATCCTCAAAACCACCCAATCCAAAACCCCTTCCTCAATCCTAACCTGAAAGTTTTACTCCTACTCTCACCTCAACCTTCATGCTCTCTCCCCTATCTTGTACCTTTGAACTTCTAATTAATACCTGTAAAATTTTGGAGTGTGTATCAATCAACTCAGCTAATTCAGAGATTTATTGTGACATCAGTCATCTTCCTACCTCACACTTTTGTTGTAGTTTCTTCAAACAAGTGTTGGATTTGATTTCATGCTATAGGATGTGGTACGTTTTTGAGTGTAGTTAGTGAGTGGGCGCTACAAGGCCTGAGAATTGCATATTTGGATGTCACTATTTAAAATCACAGAAATACTTTTGGTGAAATCAGGTTGTTAGGACTTTTCTCACATGTCATTCCACATAACATATGCAACCAAATTTGCATCTAAAGGCCTAACCACTCAACATTCTTTGCCTTATATGGTCTTATATATTTGAAAAATGAATGCAAATTTGCTGGACTGCCTATCTGTTTATACTCTTTTAGCACTGGCCCTAGCATTCAGCATGCTGTCTACAGCAAGGCTCCAGACAGAGTTTAACTAGACATCCAAATCTAAGTCAGAGGCATCCAAAATCATACCATATATGAAAATTATATCAGTGATGTCCTGCACATTCAAAAACCTGACTAGAGTCACACCTGACCAATCAGGGTTGGCCAAATTCTATAAAATTACAGATCTACATTTTTGACCAATGTAAGACCCTCAGCCCTCACCTCAACCCTAGTGGTAAAACAGTGCAGCTTAATAATTAATTAGATCATCTATCTAACCAAAGGCCTGTATAAGAGGTCTGGTGACTCTTCAGCCTTTTTTTTTATTTTTTCCCAATTTTCTCCCCAATTTAGTCGTCGCCAATTCCACCCGCTAGTTAGGACTCCCCCAATCAGACGATACTATCAGCGCTAGGAGGGTGAAGGCTAACACAGGCTTCCTCCGACACCTGTGAAGCCAGCAACCGCATCTTTTCTAGCTGCCACTCACGCAACATCATTGGACAGCTGAACGCGCTTGGAGGAAAGCGCCAACCGCCAACCAGATCTGTTACGTCAGCTAACAGATGCCTGCGCTGACTAGCATCGCATTGGAGGTTGGGTGGAGAAGGGAGGCCATCCTACCAACCCAGAGAGAGCGAGGCCAATTGTGCTCTCTTGGACACCCGCCCACGGACGGCTGTAGCATCAACAGGAATCGAGCTCGCGATCTCCTGATGATGCGCCACTCAGGAGCGACTCTCCAACTTTTAAATTGATGTTTATTTCTGAGATCACTGAGTCAAGACCCAGTAGGGATCTGACTCTACTAAGGCAGTGATGGCAGTAATGCCGGAATCCAAATTCACATCAGGGTAGTGTAACTGGCCAGCCGAAATCAGGTCAGTGGGCATCAATGGACATCCAAATGTATAATCATCCAAATGTATAATGATCATCTGAATAGCACATCCTTATAGAACATAGGCAAGGCAAGGCAATAATCCTGCAGTGTCCAAGTTCAGACACTTTATGGGGCATCATAATCTATATTCGTTAATACTGTGGATTTAACTAGGCAGCGATTTCCACAAAAGCGTGGACAGATTTATATTCATGTTTTCATTCCAAAAGCTCATAAATATGACCCACACCCTTTTCTCAATCCCAGATCTTCACTCTGCATCTCATCCCAACCCTAAACACTCATCTCAACCCCAAACCTAGTCTTTAACCAGCACAGCTTAGCAATAAATCATCAGTCTGTTTTGCAGTGGACAAAGACCCTACAATATCTAAACAAACTATGTACTATGGATTATGAGTCTTCATCTCACACTAAAGGCTGTAAAAGCTCCTGTCTATTTTGCATCTGCTGCCTCTATTTGTTGCTCCTCAATGATCCGATGGCTGATATTCTCCTGTATTCACCCTGTATGGTTGACTTTCTGATCTGTTGACAGGCTGATTACTTGCTGTTGGTTCTCCATAGCATCCCTGCACCACATCCCTACAGCTACTGCCTCAAATCTCGTGGAAGCCTGGCTACAACCTCAGGGACACAGCATACCAGGCCAATATTAAACACACACAAATATGGCCTTACCTGAGATAGCAAAGCCACTGAATCCCACAGCCAATACGAGGAAAGAGATGGCCACACCCTTAGTGTGAGAAAATCCAACCACCAGCAGGAAGGTAGCCTCCAGCCCAAACCCTACACAACCAGAGACCACAACTTCTCACTAGCAGTATAAGCAACTTTAAAAAGAAATTGATGCTCTAAGTTCTCTTTACGTTCTCAGCATCTTTTGAATGCATGTTTTTGTGCATAAGGTATGCACAACACACAAATGCAAACACATGCATGCACTAAAAAAATATACACACACACATCCAACATGCAACACTGCACTACATGCAGAAGATCTCACCACCACAGTTCATGAGCTTGCGGACAGTGGTGGTGGTCATGATGTTGTTAGAGCGCAGATAGTCAGCCAGCTGACCTCCAATAGGCACCACGATGGTCATCACTAGGTGGGGGAGAGCGGAGAGGATACCCACCTGCAGAGAGAGAGTGTTGCTATGTTCATATGCTCCTTGGATAGGTCCATTTCCTAATTCTGAAGTTATAATAACAGATAATTTGCTTTTTTAATAATCATGAAAGCATATAAACGCAGCATGTATGTGTATGTCTGTCATGTTGTTAATCTCCCCAAAGCTTGCTCAGCTATGTAAGCTGAGTGTTTGTAAGTTTTGTGACCTTGCTAATCTCAAAGCCGAACACTTCCTCAAAGTACGCTGGCTGGCTGATGAGCAGCAGGTAGAAGGTCCAGCTCCGGCAGAAGTTTGCCACAATGATGGCATACACAGGCATGGAGGTGAAGAACTTCCTCCAGGGAGTGTTAAATTTCTACACACAGACAAAAAACATGATCACCACCATTATCATCATAATGCAACCAAGAGAGGACACTATCATCACCCCTTCCCCCAAACCTCACCATCAAACTCACCCTTATTTGTCAAGCTTAAGAGTTGCTGGCAGCCCTGTTGAGGTCATTTTGATCAACAGCTACCGGACAACCAACTAGCAAATAACCCAACCCCCGACCTCAAACTACAACCACAAACCCAACCCCCGACCTCAAACTACAACCCCAAACCCAACCCCAACCTCAAACTACAACTACAAACCCAACCCCCAACCTCAAACTACAACCACAAACCCAACCCCCAACCTCAAACTACAACCCCAAACCCAACCCCAAACTTCAAACTACAACCCCAAACCCAACCCCCAACCTCAAACTACAACTACAAACCCAACCCCAACCCCAACCTCAAACTACAACTACAAACCCAACCCCTAACCTTAAACCACAACCTAAATCTAACCCACCAACCCAACCTTCAACCCTAAACGATAACCCCAAGCTCAACCATCAACCCCAACCCATAACCATATGCCCAACCATCAACCCCAAACCATAGTCCTAAACCTAACCGTCAACCCAAAACCATAACCCTAAGCCCAACCCTCAAACCCAAACCAGAACTACAACCCCAAACCCAACCCCCAACCTCAAACTACAAACCCAACCCCAACTACAAACTATAACCCTAACCCCAACCTTCAACCCCAAACCATAACCCTAAATCCAACCCTCACACCTAAACTGTGACCCTAAGCTCAACTCTCAAAGCCAAATCATAACCCTAAGCCCAAAAATCAACCCCAAACCACAACTTCAACCTCAACCCTAAACCCCAACGCCCAAAACTCAATCTCAAACCCAACCCATTCCCTAAACCCAAACCATAATCTCAAACCCAAACCCCAGACCTTAACCCTAATTCTATTCTAATTCCATAACTGCAAAATTAAACCTTAATCCTACCCAAACCTCAATCTTAAACCCAATCTATGTGTAGGATTGTTGGACCTAACATTGATTCATTTCCTTTAGCGTACTCAGTCCTAAGCCTAGACGCTTTGATGTACCTGCTTCTATAGAGCTGGAATACCCAGGAGAAAATGTCCAGTACAGTGGACGTTTGGAATGAAGAGGTTTGCGTGTGTGTATATGTACATATGTGTGCGTACCGTGAGTGGGTTGAGGAGGCCGGCGGACTCTCCGATGGCCTCCTCAATGTATTTCCTCTCCTCAGGCGTGATGGTGGGGTGAGCAGCTGGACTCTCATAGGAGACCAGAATCCAGAACATATACCAGCAGATCCCAAAACTACCTACAGACACACAGACACACAGTGTACCAGTTGATCCCAAAATCACCCATGGAGCTACTGTTCTGAATTGTTTTATGTCTTTGAAGAGTTTATCCTTTAAAAGAACACCAAAAGAAGAAACATCTAAAGAAAAAAACACACTTTGCCTTCATAACCAATCAGGAGTGCATGTCCTGAACAAAATGGAGATCATCTACTTCAGATTTGGTGATTGGAGAAGCTGTGGAAGACATCATTATCCTGGTGTGCACGAAACCACTCTTAAATTGTTTAGCAGTGTCTGTGACGCGTTATCATGAGGGGACACTGTTTGCGCCAAGCTCCATCCTTTGACTTACTACAAGCATTAACATATTCAAACACAGGAAAAAGATGAAAGGTGACCCAACAGGCCACATTTTTTCTACTCATTTGTCAGGGCTCCATGTTTTGTGAGCCAACATGCTTGACATACTTTTTTATTTTATTTAACCTTTATTTAACCAGGACATCCCTTGAGATTAAAATATCCATTACTTCATAATACATTACTTTTGTCAACCTAAGACTTTGTTTAAGCCATTTCAAGCACCAAAATAATTCATCCATTTCAGTAAAGTTGTGTTTTCACAAGAGATATTAAGAATTTCTAAAACCAGACCTTAATTGTTCAGCTTTAGGGCCAGATTATGTCTTCACACAGTGCAAAAGCGCCTCTTTATAGAGAGAACTAAGATTGTTCTGAACATTTTGATGTAAAACACTTGGGTATCATGTCATATGCAAATGCCTTTAAAGGCACATTTAAGAACATGTGCAACAATTAAGAAAATGCCTTTAGACTCCAGAAGGATGAACTCATTCAGGGAGACAAAATGATTAAGCTGTGATATGTTCTGAAGGTTATTTTATTGTCAAACACCTGCATTTTAGAAAGTCCTGGGTTAGTTGCTTCAAAAAGCTTCTTTCACCACTGGCATGTGAATTAGTTTTAATAAAGGTTGGGCATCCTAAGTGGTACAACAATCTAAGCATTGGCCCTATCATCAGAAGATTGATCCCAGGTGATGCCATGGCCATCCATGGCCAGGAGTCCAAGAAAGCGTTGTCCACTCTCTCTCTCTCCGAGTCCAACCACTCCCCTCATCACTCAGTGCGATACTAGTCAGTGCAGGTGCCTGTTAGTGTTTCTACTCCAGTCGTGTTGAGCAATGTGTTGGAGCTTCATATGTCTTGGAGGAAGCACATGCTAGCCTTCAGTCTCCCAGCTGGGTAGCATCATGTGATAGGTCATGCCAGTGGAAAAACAATCAAGGGAGTTTCAAAGCAACTAACAGAGTTCCCAAAAGGCCGAACAGTGAGGTTCTAAAATCCAGGTACATCACATGACAGCATATGTCAAGCATGGGAAAACTGCATTAGGAAACAGAAACCCAAAGCTCAGTGTCAAAGCTCACAGACAGGGATAGGCAGAAACACTTCACAGAACTTTACAGTGCATGAAGACACAAACCCATGAGCTCTAAATGATGGCCTTTCACCCTTTTTCTTTCTGAATGTGTTCATCTTTGGAGAAAGTCAAAGGATGTGTTGGAACAAAGGCTGCTGCCAACAGATGAACATGACTGAGAAACCTTTGGCATGGGCAACCATCAAAAAGGTAGATGGTTTAATGAACACTTTACCTTGCCAAACAGTGGCCAAGGAAGCTGAGGCTATGGTGCAAATGTAGTTCCTTCATGGGAATGCCACCATTGACACTGCTAAACAAATTTGACAGTAGTTTCAAGAACATGAAACTGCTTCCACAGCTTCTTCAATCACCAAATCTGAAGTAGCTATTCTTCATTATGAAGAATAGTCCAATACCTCATCACATAGTTCAGGACATCACTGTTACCCAGAAGGACATGAACTGTGAAGGCAAAGAGTAGTCCATTTCAGGAACTCTGAAAGTAATAGATTCTACAAACACTGAGAACTGTTTAGACAAATAGACCTAGCTGGCAAGTAAAAACCAATAAATAAACAAATCAAGTTGAAGCAATTTATAATGTGGAGTTTCTGTTATTTTGTCCTCTACATGTATATTAATGAGGACTAGAGGACTGGTATGTGTGAGAGTTTGTGTGTTTTTCTCACCATATACGTAAAAGACTGAGGACCAGCCGGAGTACTGCACTAACACTCCCGCTAACGGCATGGCAATCACAGCTCCAGCATACGAGCCTGTAACACACAGCAAGATGTTATCAACATAGTTCAGTGAAAAATCAAATTTGCACCGTCTGTCCCTTTTGTGTTCAGAGTTTGCTTTTTTAATTTTATGACCTACGAGGCTAACAAGCACTTATGCAATTTTATAGATAACAGTAGTGTCAGAAACCACACAATCAAGTCTGATTGCCAGTCCCACAACATGCTGATGTTGGCTACCGGGGTGGGGGGGGGTGGGGGTCTGGGGGTAGCCCTTCCAGAAGAGGGCGTACCCTCCTCCCACCTCTTTCAGATAGTCTTCACCCAGGAGGCTTGTCTCTCTAACAGCAGCGATGTTCACGTTGTAGCCTCAGTCCCTCAGCAATCAACATGGTCCCCTGGTGAGGTCTGACGCTGTCATTATCCAGGACATTCATGGAATGTAAATTATCCAGGACATTCCAGGTTGCCAGACTAAAAGGGATAATTTTCTGATTTTGACTGCCGGATGGATGTCTCAGTAGGCACGGTGGCTTACCCAGGAGATGGTACAGTGGGCAATTTTTAGGCCACCTGTTCCAGGCCCTTCCCCTGTTGGGGTGAGCAGTGTTGTCCCTAAATAAGGCTGCTCAGTAACATGGGGGTCTGCTGAGAGCAGTTGCCACTCAACCCCAGCTGCTAGCAACCATATACCCCATGCCACTGACATGCAGGGTTCTAACTAGGAGATCCCAGGCCATTCTTCCCTGCTCCCATCGACAGACACTCCATCACTGCCAGACTTCAACCGGATGTAAGGTCAGATATGGTACACCGTGGTCAGACCATGACAAGGCAAATCCCAGTCACCAGGGGAAACCCATGACGACCAGCCCCCATCATGGCTGCAGGAGGCACCGGAGCTCCAGTCTGTCAGAGGACTGCGTAAAGTGTGCCACCAACACAAGTCTGTTAGGGATTACTGAACAGCTCCACATGATTTGAGGCAAGTGTGTGATGGTTTAGCCATGCAGGTAGCTCCATGATAACTGGTGTGTTATTAGCTTCCATTACTTGTTAGCTACGTTAGCCTCATATCTTCAGTGCCAAAACTAAACCAGCAAACTTGATCTATTGACTTAATCCCTGATAGAAAGCACTACGACCTCACCACAGAATGCTGTTGTAGCCAATCGGCTTCTCTCCAGGGGCGGAGCCCATTTGGCCCAGATCCCATGGCATGCTGGGTAAGACACACCCTAAAAGAGTCACACAAACAGGATGTGATGTCATGGATGTGAGAATTTTGGGCTTATCTTGTTTAAGCACTTGAAATAATACTCCTTCAATTAAACTAAGCTTAATAACCAAAAAGAAGATAATTTAGCGTTATCGTAAGTGTATGTGTTATTATAACTAGGCTATTCAATAATTTAGCTGTTTTCTCTGCTGACTCCAGCTCTGCAGAGTTCACAGTGTTGTGTTTGACTCCACACTCCATGAGCACCATTGTTATATCAAACACAGCCTGAATGTGGTGCTAGTGCACCTGGCTTATTGAACAAAAATTGCTACAGAGTTTTGACCTAGTTTGGAGTTAAACGTTCCTCTTTTTGCAAAAGCGTGGGTGTTTTAAGAGGGAATGTTTAAAGGCAAGAGAGAGAGAGAGAGAGAGAGAGAGAGAGAGAGGTGAGAGAAAACTGAACATCATGAACAGCTTTACTGTCACAAAGCTAAACTCGAAGTGAATGAACTTGCCTTTATTTACAAACATACAATTAAACTTTTACCATCAAAATATACACATATTTACAGTCATCTGTTTGTATTTGTTTATAGTCACCATCAAGGTCAACAGTAAAGTCATATTATTACACTATTTTATAGTCACATGGTTACACTTGTTTACAGTAAAGCAATTACACACTGTTACTCTACACTTAAATAGGACGGTTCTTCAAGGGTTCAATAAAAGAGCATTCACGTACAGCGCACTTCACCAACGACACAATATGTTGGTGAAGGTTATGCGCTTTCATAGTAATATGGTTCCACTTTTTTTTTAAACTATTTTTTTCAATTTTTACACGATTTTCTCCCCAATTTAGTCTTCGCCAATTCCACCTGCTAGTTAGGACTCCCCCAATCACACACGATGCTATCAACGCTAGGAGGGTGAAGGCTAACACAGGCTTCCTCCGAGACCTGTGAAGCGCCACCGCTTCTTTTCGAGCTGCCGCTCACGCAACGTCACTGGACAGCTGAACGCGCTCGGAGGAAAGCGCCAACCACCAGATCTGTTACGTCAGCTAACAGACGCCTGCGCCGACTAGCATCGTGCTGAGTGATGGGGGGAGAAGGAGGGGCCATCCTACCCACCCAGAGAGAGCGAGGCCAATTGTGCTCTCTCAGACTCCCGGCTACGGACGGCTGCAGCATCACCAGGGATCGAACTCACGATCTCCTGATGAGGGACAACGCTTAGACGGTTGCAGCCACTCGGGAGCCCCAGTTTCACTTTTTTTTTTTTATAGTCATGTGGCTACACTACTTTACAGTCATACACTACTATACAGTTAACTTTGTTGTAGTAATATTTACACTCATGCAGTGATGCAAGTACGCTCACAGGGAGGGAGAGAGAGAGAGAGAGAGATGTGTTTACCTCCACCAGTCCCTGTAGCACTCTCACTATAATCACACACAGGTAGTGAATACGTGCTGCTGTTGGGATCAACATGTTCAACGTTGATGTAGCAACGATCGCAAACCCAAACACCCTAAAACAAACACATTCACAATGAATTACAAACAGCTGAGTCAAACTTCATGAGAAGAACTGTAAGTAGAGAGGTCCATGTAAAATGAGTATATCATCACTGAATTGAAAGGACACTTTTTCACTTCGCCTCAGGCCATCTTAAATGAGCTCTGGCCCAGAGAAGGCGGCAGCATTTCTGGATCCTGTTTATATGTAGATTCTTCTTTGCATGATTAGACTTTTAACTTGCATTTGTGGATGCAGCGATGAACTGTGTTTACAGACAGTGGTTTTCAGAAGTGTTGGGCCCTGTCCCTCGCACAGAGATTTCTCTGGATTTTCTGAATCTTGTAATGGTATTGTGTACCGTAGATGATGAAATCCCCAAGTTTTTCTATTTTATGTAGAGAAACATTATTCTTGTATTGTTGTACTAATTGGCTGTGCAGTCTTTCACAGAGTGGTGAACTCCTCCTCATCTTTACTTCTGAAAGACTCCGCCTCTCTGGGATGCTCTTTTTATACCCATTCATGTTACTGACCTGTTGTCTATTAACCTAATTAGTTGTGAGATGTTCCACAAGGTGGCTTTTTAGCTTTACACAACTTTACCAGTCTTTTGTTGCCCCTACATATATATAAAAGCGAAAAGCAGTTTATATAGTCTCCTATTTGACAGCTTGAGGTGTAAAATAGCATTTCCTGAAAGTAAAGCACTTGATTACTATGTTGTCAAAAAACATCAAAGAAAAAAGTACATATTTAAAGCATTTCGAAGCCTAAAATGAATTCTGTTCATGGAAAGTGCATTCTTCTTGTAAGAGGTCATGTTTAATTATACTACATATAATATTTTCTCTTTGCACACAACAGACATTTACCTGCATAATTAGAGTTTTCTTTCTAGCTGTGATAAATTATACCCACGGGCCAACCACAGGCTTGTTGTCTGTCAGGCAAGGTTGACCAGCACACCATCACCCTCTACTGTAAGCTCTGCCTACACGAGGCGTTGGATTGGTTTAGAAATTTCACTTTCAGTTTGTTCCCACCCTAATAAGTCAGTGTTCCCTCTCACACTTAACTTTCAACGTTATCCCCAGATGTGTTTTCTAGTTACAAGATTGCGTCTGGTTCCACAAGACTAACAAAACGCAGGCTGCCCTTTAAAATGAGTTTAAATTTCTTGATGATTGTAGCAGTAGAAACCAAAATCTTGTTCAATTAACCTCCATTCAAAGTTAATAAGGCTTTTTCTTTTTCATGTGAAAAGTTAGTTTAATTTTGGAGATACAAGGCTTTGTCACAACAGTGACAGCGTTTTAAACAAGTTCTGACCTGTTGGCAGCAAATTTCTGACAGATGAATCCTCCAGGAATCTGAGTAACGATGTAACCCCAAAAAAAGGATCCATGAATCATTCCTACTGTCTCTGGATCCCACTGAAACTGAGCTTTCTGAGAGAGAGAGAGAGAGAGAGAGAGAGAGAGAGGTCTGGGACTTTGTTTTCTGGCACTTTTAAGAAGGTTTTTAAGACACATTCATGTTTTTTTAGGCAAAATTGTCCAGAAGAAAACTAATTATTGTAGATTTACCACCACTCCCATCACTCAGTTCCCCTCACCACCACTGTAAACAAATCTGCCTGTAAATTTTTCAACAATAAACCATTTCACATCAAACCACTTTGAGGTTTCTGAGGTGGAGTGGTGGGGTTAACAGTGGTAGGATGGGGTTACTAAGGTGGAGCGGTGGGGTTTTTCAGTGGTGGGATGGGGTTACTGTGGTGCAGGAGTAGGGATTAACAGTGGTGAGACGGGGTTAATGAGGTGGAAAGGTGGGGTTAACAGTGGTGGGATGGGGTTACTGAGGTGGGGTTAACAGTGGTGGGATGGGGTTACTGAGGTGGAGGAGTAGGGTTTACAGTGGTGGGATGGGGTTACTGAGGTGGAGGGGTGGGGTTTACAGTCGTGGGATGGGGTTACTGAGGTGGAGGGGTGGGGTTTACAGTCGTGGGATGGGGTTACTGAGGTGGAGGGGTGGGGTTAACAGTGGTGAGATGGGGTTATTGAAATGATGGGTGGGGTACTAAGGTGGAGAGCTGGGGTTATTGAAGGGGTGGGTGGCGTTACTGATGTGGAGGAGTGGGTTCATGGAATTGGTGGGTGGGGTTACAGAGGTGGAGAACTCTGGTTACACTAGTTGGATAATGTTACTGAGGATGAGGGTGGGGATATCAAATTGGTGGGTGTGGTTACTGAGGTGGAGGGTTGGGGTTATTCAAGTCGTGGGTGAGGTTACTGAGTTGGAGGTGTTGAGGCCATTGAAGTAGTGGGTGAGGTCACTGAGGTAGAGGGGTGGGATTATCATAGTGGTGGGTGATGTTACTGAGGTGGAGGTGTGTGGTTATTGAAGTGGTGGGTGGGCTTACTGAGGTGGAGGATTGGGGTTACTGAAGTGGTGAGTGAGGTTACTGATGTGGAGGTGTTTGGTTATTGAAGTGGTGGGTGATGTTACTGAGGTAGAGGTGTGTGGTTATTGAAGTGGTGGGTGATGTTACTGAGGTGGAGGTGTTTGGTTATTGAAGTGGTGGGTGAGGTTACTGATGTGGAGGTGTTTGGTTATTGAAGTAGTGTGTGAGGTTACTGAGGTGGAGGGTTGGGGTTATTGAAGTAGTGTGTGAGGTTACTGAGGTGGAGGGTTGGGGTTACTGAAGTAGTGTGTGAGGTTACTAAGGTGGAGGTGTGTGATTAGTGAAGTGGTGAGTGAGGTTACTGAAGTGGTGTATTAGGGTTATGGAAGTAGTGTGTGAGGTTACTAAGGTGGAGGGTTGGGGTTATGGAAGTAGTGTGTGAGGTTACTAAGGTGGAGGGTTGGGGTTATTGAAGTAGTGTGTGAGGTTACTGAGGTGGAGGGTTGGGGTTATTGAAGTGGTGTGTGAGGTTACTGAGGTGGAGGGTTGGGTTTTTGAAGTAGTGTGTGAGGTTACTGAGGTGGAGGAGTGCGGTTACTAAAGCTGAGGGGTTGGGTTATTGACGTGCTGAGTGGAGTTACTGAGGTGGGAATTTTAACCAGCGTTTTGTAATGTTTGTCCAGCCTCACAACAGTTTCTATGAAAGGGCCCGAAGAGGGGAAAAATGATTCCATTGAATTCCAAGTTGATCCCATGATACACGGATCCTCCCTCACTCACCACGTTGATGGGCTTGCCTCCTCTGTAAATGGTGTGGTTGTTGACCATGCTGACCACGGCCACTCCCAGGTTGCAGCGGATGCCAAAGGAGATACAGAAGCCCAAGCCTGAGAGGATGGCGATGATGTAGCGGCGAGGCAGACCAAAACAGGTGCAGTCCACCACCGGGGGCTCCTTCTCCTCCACCAGCTCGGGACGTCCCTCTGCTGACAGCTCGATTGTCTCCCCATTCTCCTGACGCTTCTCTATGATCCTGAGACAGGGATGCACAGGGAGAGTGACAAAACATGAGTGAGAAGAATCCTTATTGACTCTTGGTAGCGTATGGTTTGGGTCCACGGTGGAAGACCCATGGGAGTGTTTATTCTCCAGAAAAACAAGGTGAAAATGACGAGACAGAAGTGATGGTTTGCTTTCACTAATGTCTTTTACAAAGATAGTTTCAAAAACATAATTAAAAGAAGGTGTCTTTTCACCTTGGTTTAGCACTGCACCTCGTCTTAATCGCTATTTTAATTTCTTCTCTTCTTATCCTTTTAATCTTAATCAATATTTTTTATATTTATTTATATATTTACTTATTTAGTTTTATTTATATGGTATGTGTATGTGAAAATCAAATACTGACATATATTCAAATTTCTTGTCTTTTCCCTCAGGTTACTCTGTATATGTTATTACAAGCTGAATATGTTCTTATCAGAGGGTAATAACTGTCAGCTACCATGCCATTTAGGCACATTAGGTGATACAGTATCATAAATTCACATTTTCAATTTGAAAGAAATAGCATTCATATTACACAACAATAAAATCACTGAAGCATGCATATGTAGCTTGCTTTCACAAATGCCTCTCTGGTCTGGAAAGTCTGAGACTACATTCAGGATCGCAAGATTGCTTGTATAGTTTCAATTTAAAAATGTTCTAAACCAGCCAAAATGCTTTAGCCCTTTTGCATCTTAGGCTTTTTACATACTAAGGCTCACTATTCAGTAACTACATTTTCAATGCAAACAGGCTGAGCTATTCTTAGGTTTTAGAGGTGTGTAATAAAACTTCGGGCCTGCTGGTGGGTCCTGGCCATTTAAGGGGTTAAAAACTTCCCAAAAAGCATTTCAAAATGAGTCTAAGGTCATTTAACCACAATATGAAATAATATAGCTTTTGACCAACATGATATTAATAAGCTTCTGGGTACAATAATTGATGATGATTTAGCCTCAACAATTAGAAGATAAATATTCAAGTTATCACTAAACATCACTGTTTACCTTTTAAACAAATGTGCATGTTTCATGACTGCAATGAAGAACCAAAAGGTTTTATGAAATTTTTAGTATCCTTGTCAAACATTTAAAAATGCCTAGACAAAGAACCTAAAAATCATTTCATTAGAATAAATAAATTATTATCAATCGTTTCATAATGCACAAAATGTTATCAGTGGTGACAGGTCTGGACTGCAGACAGGTCAGTTTAGCACCCAGACTCTTTTACTACAGAGCCATGATGCTGTAATATGTTCAGAATGTGGTTTAACATTGTTTTACTGAAATAATCAAGGCCTTCTCTGAAAAAGACGTCGTCTGGATGGCAGCATGTGCTGCTCTGATATCTGTATATATCGTTCAGCATTAAAGGAGCCTTCACAGATGTGCATGTCACCCATGCCATGTGCACTAATGCACCCTCCCCCAATACCATCATGGACACTGGGTTTTGAACTGTGTGCTGATAACAAGCCAGACGGTCCCTCTCGTCTTTAGCCTAGAGGGCATGGCATTTGTGATTTCCAAAAAGAATTAAAAATTTCTATTCAACAGACCACAGGACACTTTTCCACTTCATCTCAGTCCATCTTAAATGAGCTCAGGCCCAGAGAAGGCGGCAGCGTTTCTGGATCCTGTTTATTTTTGGTTTTGTCTTTGCGTTTAAGAGTTTTATCTCTCATTTGTGGATGCAGTGATGAACTGTGTTCACAGACACTGGTTTTCAGAAGTGTTTCTGAGCTCATGCAGTGATTTACACTACAGAATTGTGTCTGTTTTTAATGAGTGCCTGAAGATCATGACCAGCCAGTATTAGTGTTGTCCTTTGCATACAGATTTCTCTGCTTTCTTCGATTTTTTAATGATATTATGTGCTGAAAATGATGAAATCCCCACATTTCTTATGTTGAAAACTATCATTGTACTAATTGCCCATGCAGTCTTTCACAGAGTGGTGAACCCCTCCCCATCTTTACTTCTGAAAGACTCCGCCTCTCTGAGATGCTCTTTACACCTGTCATGTTACTGACCTGTTTCCAGTTAACCTAGCTCATTATGAGATGTTTACCAGGTGTTTTTTTTAACATTACACAATTTTACCAGCCTTTTTTGTCCCATGTCTCAACTTTTTTGAGACATGTTGCTGGCATCAAATTCAAAATGGTTATACATTTTTATGATGTTTACATTCTTTTGCACTTTATATTTATTATTAAACTGCACTATTTGTAAATAGTACTATTACCATTCGCATATGTGCAATACCCTCATGTGCAACACCATAGCTGCTATATTCTTTTATATCCACCCTCTTTTATTTTACTTTTTTATAATTTCGTTTTAAAGTATTTTATAGATTTATTTTTTTTTATTTTTACTTTTTTATCATTTTAAATGATACAGTCTTTACTTTAATATCTTGGATTTTATATTTTACATTAGCCTATGATTTTGCTTCATTCCTAGTTTAATCTTTTTTTTTGTTTGTTTGTTTGTTTATGCACCGTTAGGATTGCTACTCAATTTCGTTGTACCCTGTGCAATGACAATAAAGAACCTTGAATCTTTCAACATTTGATTTGTTGTATTTGTATTATTTTCAATTAAATATAGGGTTTAAATGATTTGCACTTTCTTGCATTTTGTTTGTATTTACATTTTGCACAGCGCCCCAACTTTTTTGGAAATGGGCTTATAATAGGAGTCTAAGGGACCATTGACCCTGCTGAGTCTGAAGAGCTATTGACCATACAGAGTCAGAGGAACACCCAAACGTACTGCGGCTGAGCAGCCTGCGTCATCAGAAAACAACTGCTGTAACCTCTTTAACCTGCTCCAATGCTAGCATCACCAAGGACAACCACCTACCCCTCTGCCACTGCCACCGCCCCATCAGCCTCATGACTCAAACACGCTGCTCCAGTGAATGTGGCATGGATTGGACACAAATGAAGTTCAGCCAAAATTCATCCTTTTATATTTTTGTAATGCAGAGAGAATAAGAGCTGTTGATGCTCCTGGCTAGGAAGTTATGTTTGCCATTCATCATGAAGACTGGTGTAGTCTTGCCTGATTGGCTAAATGCAATGTGACGGATGTGCTCATTTGCATAAAGTTGAAATCTGCTGAGCGTTTTTGCTGTGATGCAGTGAAATCCATGCACTGTGCCATGAGTGCAGTGAGGCAAAGCTGCAAGTGGATGCATATCATTTTAAAAAGAGGCACTGGACCTGATGTGAATTAAATTCATAAAAAAAGATTTAGGATGAAAAGAGCATACAGTACTAAATATTTAACTATAATTCACAAAAACACTGCTTTTTATGGCATGTTCCATGTGCACCAGTACTGCAGTGTGACACTCACTCACACCATGTGCAAGTGCATGAAAATGAACCTACAAACAAATACAACACACAATCACCCTCATAACATGTTTATAACTCCACAACCATCTTAATTAAATACTGTAATAACACAGTCAACATTCTCTCCCTCTGACTGTATCTCTGACTCTCTGTATGATTATAAGTCCAGGCTGCTTCAGTTCTTTGACATTGATTAAATATTAATGCTCCTCTGAACATAAATCATTAATAACTGCGTCTATTTTTGTCTCCTCTCTCCTCCACTGACCCCAGACCTCTCTCTCTTCTCTTTCCCCACTCCCTCCCTCTTTGTCTCTTCTCTATCTCTTCCTCTTTTCTGTATCTTTTATCTCTCTCTTACTTCTGTCTCTTTACCATTTCTCCCTCTCTCTTTTCTTTCTTACCTATCTTTCCTCCATCTCTCTTTCCTCCATCTTTCCTCTTTTACTCCTCTGTCTTCCCTCTTTCTCATTATCTTTTCACTTTCTCTTTTTAATCTTTTCTCCCTCTCTCTTTCTCTCCTCCCTTCTCTATTCTTTACCCTCTCTTCTTCCCTTCTGCATCTTTCCTTCTTCTCTTGTTCCCTCTTTTTTCTGCTCATGTTTGGGGGCTACAGCCAAAGTGGTGTGTAATCTTTCTGAAAGCTTTCTGTTTCTTGTTGAAAAGCTTCATAAATAAATAATCTAATGGAAAACACTTTATAATGTAACACACACGCTTGTGTATATCCATAAGTGTGTGTGTGTGTGTGTGTGAGAGAGAGAGAAACAGAGAGAGAGAGAGATCAGGCTGAATCAATCAGATTGACCTTTGCTTTGTGTAAAGTGACCATACAGACCACTTTAAGGGTGCCCTCATAACCATCATCACTGTCTTCACCACTATTGTTACCACCATCAGTCACTATTAACATCACCATCACATCTTTATCATCATCTTTATCAAAATCTCTCTCACCATCTCAATCATCATCATCATCATCATCACCACCATCTTCACCACCATTATCACCATCAGTTATCATTAATATCATCACAACCATCAACATCATCATTACCATCTTTATCTTTACCATTATCATCATCATCAGTTTCATTGTTTGTCTTTCCCAAGCTAAAAAAAAAAATCCAAAAAGAAAAAACTCCACACTATTTCTTCGTAACACTGCTGCAAACACTTTTTTTTTCAATTCTAAACTATGTAGTAGATAAAGAATAAAGTAGATGTAAATGATGCATAGAGAGCATAATCCAGTCTGTCTGAACAAACTCCTGTAAAGTTACCCCAATAAAACCCTGCAGCCAATAATCATTATCATATCTCCATCATCATTACCATCATTAAAACCGTCATCATCACCATCACTATCATCACCATCATCACCACAAATAATCATCACATCTATATCCTTAGCATCATAAACACCATTATCACCACCAATAATCACCATCTCCAACAATAACATCATTATTACCATCACCACCACCAATAATCACCATCTCCATCATTATTACCATCAGTAATACCATTATCACCACCAATAATCACCATCTCCAACAATATTACCATCAGTAATACCACCGTCACCAATAATCATCACCATCTCCATCATTATTACCATCAGTAATACCATCATCACCACCAATAATCACCATCATTAATACCATCATCACCACCAATAATCACCATCATTAATACCATCATCACCACCAATAATCATCATCTCCATCATTATTACCATCATTAATACCATCATCACCACCAATAATCATCGCCATCTCTATCATTATTACCACCATTAATACTATCACCATCACTATCTTCACCATCATCACCTCAAATAATCATCACATCTGTATCATTACCATCATTAATACCACCATCACCACCAGTAATCATCACCATCTCCATCATTACTACCATGATTTATACCATCATAGCAATAATCACATCTGTATCACCATCATTAGTTATCATCAACACCAGTAATCATCACCATCTCATTATTACTATCAGTAATACCATCATTACCACCAATAATCATCACCATCTCTATCATCCTTACCATCAGTAATGCCATCATCACCACCAATAATCATCACCATCTCTATCATCATCATCAGTAATACCATCATCACCAGCAATAACCACACCTGTATTCCCATCATTAATGCTATCATCACCACCAGTAATCACTGCCATCTCCATCATTATTACCATCATTGATACCATCATCACCGCCACTAATCATCACCATCTCTATCAATATTACAATCATTTTTACTATCAACACCAATAATTATCACCACCCCATCGTTATTACCATCATTTATACTATCAACACCAATAATCATCACTATCTCCATTAGTATTACCATCATTAATACCACTATCACTGCCACTAATCATCACCATCTCCATCATCATTACCATCATCATTACCATATGTCTACCATCATCCATTCTGTCTGAATGAGCTCCTGTGATCTTTCAGGTTTCTAGACATGAAGTACCAGATTAATAGTGAAATACACTGACTAAGTTAGCTAACGTTAGCTGGTATTAATATTAGTGTTAGCTGCAGCCATATATAATTTGATTTTGTTGCTCAAATGGTAAGTTAGCTCCAATATTTAAAGTTAGCGAACAACCCTGGTAAGTGATATTGCAATATAATAATAGCCTTGTAATATAATAATGGTCTTAACAATAACATGTTACTTAAAAAACAGCAGCCCAGACTGAGAATAACTAACATTAGAAACTGAGCTAACTTGGTTCTGATAGCTACAGTTTGCTTTAGGTTTGAAGGCAAGACTGATGAGCAGGATATTACACTCTCTACACCACACATCGAGTAACCAGTGAAGTCTGTCATAGACAGGAGTGACAAGATCTGTTTTTAGTGCGAGTCAGAACTAATAACACAGTGTTATCACTCTCTCCCTCATAGCTAATGAGTGGAACGTCCCGTCGGCTCACAGGACAAGAGATTTAAGTGTCCTGCACGTGCTGAGCGGAAGGAAATGCCGGTTTAAGACAGCAGCACCTTACGTAGGGGCCAGTAATCCCACGCCTGAATGTGTCAGAGTCACTTAAGAAGGGGAGAGAGAGAGAGAGAGACAGAGAGAGAGAGAGAGGGAGAGAGATTTGCATTGGCTGACAGAAGGTACGCTGGACGGTCTATTTCAGGACGGGATTTATACTGTTAGAGGCTACTTCAAATCCTTCGAGAGAGAGAATAGCGTGTAAAGTCCTGCTGGACATTCATACAGTAGCCAATTCTTCAGGTTTGAGGTTTTAAACTCTGAAATGGTTCACACTGCTGAGAGTTTCAGTAATTGGTAAACATCACTCGTTCAGTCACAGTAGTGCAGTCGGTTATGCGCGTATACTCACTTTTTTACACGTCTACTTGCGTATACTGACTTCTAATGATTATATAGTATTATATAATCAATAGATTAAACCCAGATAAACATACATACAGGAATCAGCGGCAGTATAAGACAACGTATTCACACACAGAACAATCACAATGGACTGTTTATTTGTTATTGTTTTTTTTAAATAAATAAACTCTTATTGCCCAGATAAATAGCTTTACATATTTTCTCAGGTGGCCAAGATATTTGCACATTACTGTATATATGAGGGAAGTAACAACACAATTTACCGTGTTGTATCAAATTGTATAATAGCATAACATATTGTAATGTATTGGTAACTTGTTATAACATATTAACTTGTGGCCAGTGTGTTAGACCAGGACCCAACAAAGTCTTGTTTAAATTTTTTTGTACAAGTGTAATGTTCAACGCTCCAATGAATCGGAAATGAAAACATTTTCAGCCACTCATTACTTCACATTTGCTGTATACTAGGTCTGCCCTGGTAACAAAGTCCGTTTACTGGGGGAATCATGTAGAAATAGCCACAGTAGACAGTTAAGTGCTGGAGTTTTTTTTATATTTAAGCAATAGAACCCGAGAGGGAGTGAGTTATCGCGAAATAACATCACAGCTGTGATTTGGTTGCCGTAGATCATCACAGCCGTGATGTTATTGGCGAT